TATTTTCATCTACGGAGCGGACTGTGCCCGCACGTGAAGTGCATGCCTACTGGGAGAGGCTCATTATTGGGGGAATGGAGTGGCAAGTGAGAGCTCCAGAGGTTCATAGATTATCTAGAACCAATGTTGACACATGTATTGACTGTTTGCATACACATGAGGGGCAACACAGGTGAAGATAATGAGCGGTAGATAAGACTTCTTTATTAACACATCGGAGGTCTGGCCATTCCATCCATTTTTATCATTCCCAGTGGGAGTGCACTCCTGGGGGCCCCTCAACTGCTGGCACCCTATAAACCGTCATGACGGACGTGATCCGATGTTGATTGACAGCTCTAATTTAATTTCATCTCTTAACATTAATTTAATTTGCTAATTCCATTCATTTGTAAAGAATTAATTCACGATTATGCTATTAAAAATAGAATTAACAAGCAAATAAGATCCCGACCAGTTCTGGAACTTCTGCCCCAACTATCATCCCCATACCACACCCAGATAAGCCTCAATGTCACCTTGTGCTCGGTAGAACGGAACAGCCACTCGACTGCCGTTTTTATTAATGCTATAAATTTTTAATGAACAAAATATGTTGCTGCAAGTGTTTTGTAATGTTTTCTAAATGTTTTCTTATCAATGCAATGATTTTTATATAAGTATAACGCTGTCCAGGATTGCGTGGTGGTAGTCATATACGAGCAATTATATTGAGCGCGATATTCGAACATATGGAAGCGGTTTTAAACAGCAATCAGATCCAGACAGAATTATTGGGGCAGTAATTTCATAGCACTCAATCATTTCTATCGTTCGATATCTCTATAAGCGTGTTTATAAAGCCAACAGGTAAATTGTCCGTCTTATCTCTGAGGTTTCTTTTTATTGTTGAGGCTAAGAGGAAGCCATAATCTGAATTTCTTTCGCTTGGACATTCAGAGGAAGTGTGATAAGGAGTTTAAATATCGATCTGTGATAAAAAGTATGTGCATACTAATACATATATTTACTCTGCAAGCACACTAAAGCACCGGATTCCTCGATATTCCTTTGAATACTAGAGTTTCAAACCATTTTATCATCAGAAATAAACGCATGCCCAACAAATGGTTTAACATGCCGTGACAAAATGGAAATCACCGTACAGTGATAGCTCCCTTTGGCGAACCACTCTCACTGTAATTGGTTTCACGTGTTCCTTGTCTCTATCAATTTTGTGCTCAACTGTTGGACAATGTTTGCAGGCAGTTTCAATTATCCTGTTGCTTCTGTTTGTTGTGTGTAAATTACCATCGACTGGGTGTGCCCTTACAATTCTCGCGGCTGCGACATTCCCTTGGCGAGCCCAATCTCAAGAAATTATACGAAAACGCTGTTGACATGGCACACATACTCGTATCGTACCATACCCGACGCACCGAATGTGTTTACTCGCCGCCTGCCCACGGAACGGTCATCACACGATTATGTAATAGTATAATGATAATACAACAAACTATCTGTGTGAATTATATAATAATATTAATAATAATAATAATAATAATAGAATGGGCCACCGCCACTCAAACGATTTGTTTTTGTATCCCCACCCCACCACTTTTTGCTCGTAAACGTGCGTGCTTTTTTTTTGCTGCTTGAACATACGATCTTGAACGACAGTCCGCTAAGGTCAAAGTCGTTTTGAATGTGGGCCGGCCGGGCAATGCATTGATTTTCCGCAAAATATAGCCGGGCCGTGACAATAATTGCGCATAGATGGATGAGCCGGAATACTTAGTTCATACTTCCGAGAGTTGATACTTCCTTCCACCCATCGATTACATTTAGTTTCAATCCCCATGCCGAACTCTTAGTTGTTGGACTGTAACACTCGAAAGCTTTTATATATTTACTTGTGGTAACCGTCTAGAGTCTAGACCTTATCAAGTCGTCTAGCTGATAGACGCTTTGACATTGACTGGCCGCAGGTCCAGCTTTCTGTTCATATTTGATAGAGAGGAAAACGAAACCCAATTAGATTTGAACAGCTTCCACTAGTGAATGCTTGATATAGTTTGCCTCTATGTTTTCCTTTGGAAGGAGTGGGTGTCCACTCAACGGAACAATCACTGTACGAGTATATCCTCATTCTTAATTGCTTTCGCGTTGCACATTCGAATTCATTTCGAATAGAAGCATGTCCATGTATATAAATTTATTATATGTATGCCTTTGTCTGTCTGCCTGTTTGTCAAACACGTTTCGCCTCAATAGCGAAACCATAAGAAGGTCATAAATATTGGGCAGAAAGTAAAAAGAGGACAAAAATAAAACACAGCCAGCGCCGCTGCGTGTGTCCCTCTCTCTTTCTCACTCTAGCTCTATCGCTGCGATTGTGACTGTGTGTGCGTGTGTGTATGGAATAGAATAAAATGTAATTAACACATGTCTGCCAGAGAGGAAAGGAAAGCAGAGGGCGCTCATGTAAATTAAAGCAGATGGGCGGCTAGTGAGAGCCGGAGGGGCGAAGGGACAAGGCGTGAAAGAAAATTAAGCAAAATAATTATGCAATTGAATAAGATCGAATACAATTAGAAAGTGAAAACCACATCGACAAGCACATCCCTGGAGAGGCACACTCCAGTGTGGGTGTGGGTGGGGATGGGCGGGATAGGTGCCTGTCTGTCTGGCAGCGTGATTGGGGCCAGTGACCTTTTGACTTACATTTCCAAAAAAAATGCACAAAAAGCGGCCTGCGCTTATCCTGGATATCCTTGGGACTCCAAAGGGGAATGAGACTGTCCAAAAATCGCCGCTTCAGCACTCAAAACAAATTAAATCCGTTGGACAGCCTTTGATTGAAGCTCTGGGGACACAAATGCACACGGTTGCTATATGTGTTTTTTGTACACTCTTCCTCTTATCCTATTCTATTGGTAGGTAGAACACCGCGAAGTCGAATTCACTGAACTTTACAACGGCCTGCTTTTTGATTTCTTTCCCAGGCGAACCGCTCACGTCAACGTTGCACGACCAACTCAGCGGGCCGGTTGAGCTTCTCGCCAAAACTTGAAAGTCTCGCAGCTTCGACATTGGGGACATGGTACAATTATGTGGGGTATGGACATCCCGCTCTTCGAGGGCCCTAAGCCGACGACATAAGCTCCCACAGAGAGAGGCGGCGCTACCTTAAATATTTATATACCTAGTTGGTGGGGTGTTTGTGCTTATCTTCTCTGCCAATCTCTCTCCCCAATCACGGCGCCTCTCGTGAGTTCTTCTCTGCCTGCGCGTGTGTGCTCCTAACCGGTAATGAAATTTGTTCTTCACCATAGACACAACAACAAATCAAATTCTGAACTTTGTCCTAGCGTCAAACTTTTGGGTTGTATTATGTTGTTGTCACCGGATGCCGGCCGCCATTGGCCGCAACAGCTGTTCTCACCAGCCCCCAAAGCTGGGCTGGTTGCAAGAAGAAGGCCGATGATGAGTGGATTCGCATGGGAGAGAGAGTCGAGGCTCACGGAGCAGACTTTCCAGTATTTACTCTAGTCTGCCGTTCTCTATCAGTCGTAGTGCTGAGTGGCTTATTCCATTCTCATTGCTCCACTAACACACATAAGTAGGAAATTGTACTCCACGGCCTTTCTAGAAGTTGGACCACCCGCCTTTAGCTCAAGAAAAAGCTCTCTTGACAGACATGATCTTAATTCAGAAAACAAATGTTTATTCCTCATTTATGAACATTACATATTCTTTCCCAGCCATACTGGCAGGGTCTAGGGTCTTGGGCTCCTGGATCCGTTCTGCTCTAGGATTTATGTTCCTAGTCAATCCTCTCTAGATCTATTTCCAACTATGTCGCAATCTAATAAAAACCATTGAGCATCGGCACTATAATGACGCTCCCGCTCATATCAGTTCGATGTTAATGGAAACTTTTTGTAGAAAGACCATTGAGCTGTTGTTGTTATTTTTTTTTTTTGTTGTGGACGCGACTAGAATGCTTTGGCCATTTGAACTCGGCGCGTGTAGTCTGCTGATATTCACGAAGCTGAAGCTTATTATATTACCAGCCGGTGGGTCTACATCTAGATCGGGGGACCCGGGATCCATTGGAACAGACAAACGAATCGTATGACTCCAAAATGATGTGGCGGGCTGAAGATTGGGGCACTGATTTGGAGGAACGAGCCCGCCGACAACGATTCCTCTCTCTGTTATCGTCGCTATCAGCTGGATTTTCTGATTGCCTCTCGCTCTTAAAAACTATGTAGCTTTAGGGCATACATACATATGTATGTATATTCGAATATATGTATGTATCAGAGGCTTTCAGATTTTTATTTTTATATTACGGAACGCGCGACTGTGGCAATAGAAGGGGGCGCGTTATCTACTATACATGTTGGACGTGTCCGAATTCTAGAGGCCCAACCAGAACCATGTTGCGTATTAAAGAGGATTGTTTGTCTGAATGTGCAATTGTTTAGTAAAAGTTTAGATTTAGTAAGTGTCTAGGGTAAAACAGTGGGTGGTACTAATATAAAAAATCAGTATACTTTCAGCTTACAATCCTATAGATTAGATTGTGGAATATACGTGAGAGAAATATAAAAACATATTGGGCTTATATATTAGTAAACTCCAGACATTCTCAATATATTTGGGCATACATACCCACATATGTACATATGTACATACATAAGTGTTGATAAGAACTGCCACGCCTCCGTCTGAAAGCTATGGAAATCTTTCATAGTATATATAATCCTCGCTATCAACTAAATTTATCAATATTGCCAGTCACTTCAAGACTTTCCATATCTTATCAACATTAGAAGGGAGCACAATAAGGTTCACTTCTCTTTCCTATGGGATTTGTAACACTTTGGAGGTAATTCATTAATTTTATCAAGATGCTAGAGCTAGAACTGCTTGTAGGGTATTTAAGCGTCAGTAAGTTTTCGTTTGTTTTTAGGGATTTTTGATTTGCCGTATCAAAAAATGATCGCAGTCTACAGTGCTACACGTGCCGCTGTTGTTCATAATCATGGCTATTCCCCAATCAAAAATTTGTTGTAATTTTATTTGTGTCATTGGGCCAAAGTTACCTGCTCTATTTACCTGAGTGCTAAGGATAACTTAAGTTTTTCAATTCTGTAAACCATACAAAAAAGGTTATTATACAAAATTATCGCCCACCCTGGATTATAACCACTTCTTTGAATAGCACCAGCGGTTGTTAATTAAAAACTCATCCAATTAAACCTTCCAAGCGATATATCAGTTTCTATGAATGAATGAATCGAAGTTCAAAGTACAATACGATATTGAGGATGCAATAAATCGAAGATAGTTTTAATTATATTTGAAAAATATTTTGAATTAGTTGACAATATATTAGTATGTACATATTTAGAATAAAGTATGAGTGATCTTTTTTCATGGCCCTGTGCCAACACTCTCCTTGCGTTGTCTCTCCCTAAATATGGTACATGTTTGCCATATGAATGTTGTAATGCTTTTACTTTGGGTTGGGTATTTTGATTCGTCATTTATTTTATGTCTGGGCATCTAAGAAATCATAAATCAATCTTTTCATTTATTTTTTTTGTAAAACCGTTAAATCAATTCTACATTTTGTAGTTTGTTTTTCTACATTAGAATGTAGTTAATGTAGCCACTGGCGACAAAAGAAATACATCGATAGTATCGATTGTTTTAGTAGGGGTACTAATCTTACGTTTTGTGATTTTACCTCTCTTGTTTGTTTGTTTTGTTAACGAGCCAATAACAAAGAGTCCTAAAACTAACATATCTTGTAGAAAATTGATTTATCAATTGGGTAAAATTATATGTTCAATGCTGAGAGTCCTAGATGCCTAGTAATGTCAAACCGAATTTAAAAATCGAGAAATATGATTTCCGATCATTAACATTGAACGATTAACCCACTGTCGAATTTTTAAAATAACCGCCAAACTCCATTTATCGCACACAAAAATATCGATATTATTCGCTCCCAAATCGTGGTGATTTTTCAAAATTGATCTCTTTTTGGTGATGAAGAGAGAGTTTTCGTGGTGTGAGACACATTTTCCTAACGGGAACACGTAATGGAATGAAGATTCATTGCTGCGACGTTCCATACGTCCCGTAAGGTACAATTGATTTGTATGGGAACAATTTCAGCAGCATGGGGAAATTATTTGGCAGCATTGTTCTGCAACTTTGGCACGAAATGAGGAACAATCTGCACACCCTGGGAAAATGGATATTATGGACTTGAGATATTGTTTGTAATTACAGGCTCCAATTAATGCAGAAACTACTCAGTCTCTGTTTCAAAGATATTAACGAATTTTTGCAGCTCACGGGTACAAATAATAGGTACCAGATCGGTATAAATGTATATATAAAACACAAAACATTGGCATTAATAGGTAAAAAACATGTCAATCTAGGAAAAAATCATTATTAATGTTACAATAGAGCTTGAAACAAAAAATTTGACATCAATTAAAGGAAATAAGGTATACAAAAGTACATACGCATAGATGCAACTTTGTTGACCAGCAACAATGACGTCATATTTAGTCAACATTTACGTTTCATGCTTTGGCCGTTTTTGTTTGAACCGTTTAATGTAAACAATGCAATAAAAATATCTTCTGAAAACTAGCAAATCCTGTAGAAAATTGATGTATCTATCGGATAAAATTATATCTTTAGGCATGAGAGGGCTAACTAGCTAGTAATATCAAACCGAATATCAAAGTCGGGGAATACGACTTCATTTAATAAAATACAACGGTATTTAAATATTTCCACGAAAATTATGAAACTTTGAACATATTGTTCGCATTTCAGGTGAAAGGTATCATGGTTAAATTTTTTTTTAAATAACTTGAAAAGTTCTAGCGCAATTTAGGTGAAACAAGAAGAATAGAATTTCCAAACAATATTATTTTCCGCAGGTTAAATCCATATATTCAACTGTTTATGCTGAGCAGGGTTAATTTTTCTTATCGATAGTTTATCGATAGCAGTACAACACTCAAAATTATTTGTTACTCAAAATTAAATTTATTTGTTATTGCCTGCTCGCTTGGTGTTTTACACGTTTTTCGCGATGTCTATCTATGCAAAAGTTGAAAAAGGACCTGCAATTGAGGTTTTTGCCTTAACGCAAGCATTTAAAGACGATTCCAACCAAAACAAAGTCAATCTATCTGTGGGCGGTAAGTAAATGTAAATTGCTCGCGCGTATTTGTGCCTTGTTGTCTTTAGCACTTACATATGTACACGCATACTTGTGCAATCAAAGTACTGTGTAGTTATGTGTGTAGCCTAGGAGCACTTGTCCAATTTGTTAGCTGCCGCCCTTGCAGCCCGCCCGCCCCCCGCCTGGTCGCATGACTTGGTTTTCCCCCCTCTGCTGGAGGTCATTTGGAAGTCACTTGGCATATGAATTGTTGTGATTCTCCATCCATAGGGTGGGTTGTAACTTCCGCTTGCAATGCAATTTGTCACCTACACTATTTTATATGTATATCGTTTACATATTTACGCCACATTCCTGCAACGCAACTGATTGAAAGATGATAATGGGGCTTGATAGGTCCCATCACTTTCCTTATTTTCTCTTCTAATTGACGTCAGCTAGTATAGTATTTAGTTATGTACTAGTATGCATAATGATAAGCCGCTTAGATTCGACCTTTCTTTCCATCAGCTATGCACAACAAGCGGCAATCTCATCGTCAAGCAAGAGCCGGCCGCTGCTGATTTGGATGGATGCCATTTCACATTTTTTCTGTTCATGTGTATATTTGTGGATGTTTTTGGCTGATCCAGCAGCTCCCAATTTTCATATTTTTGGATGTTGTTGCATAATTTAAATAACAATTCCCCCCAGCAAATTTTTTGCTTATTTTGACTTTGTTTTGTTTAAACTTGAAAGTCAATAACCTTTGGCTCGTGTATTCTTATTCTCATGTTAATGAGACCTGTAGACATACATACATATGTAGGCTTGGAGCTATTATAAAGCCATACATAAAACCTATTTATATACTTTTACAATGCTAAAAGCAATAAAAATAAATATAAAACCAGCCAAACTGGTTTTACTGTCTATTTCAAAAATTATTGGTCCATTCCATCAGCTGTTGTTTTTTTCAGACGCTTTTTTATCACGCGCCACTAAAACAAACAATTTCAGAGCAATTACTTAAATTGGTTTCAAGTAACCGAACGAGCGTATACAAAATGGCCTAGAAACAAGTGCTTTCCCACTATCGGATTTCGTTCGGCATTAACCATTGATTACGCATACGAAGTCCATTAAGATAAGATTTCAGATAGTCCGAAATTCAGCACTTAAACAGTCACTGGGCTTTCTGTTAATATTATTACTAAGAACCTCTTTTACTTTAACTACAGCTTACAGGACAGATACTGGGGCGCCTTGGGTCCTGCCGGTGGTGCGAAAAACCGAAATATTAATCGCCAGCGATGAGTCTATTAACCATGAGTATTTGCCAGTGACTGGTGAGTAACTAAAGGATTTGATTCCATCTATTGTATCATTTTAACAAGAAGATATCTCTTATTCTCAAAGGTCTTGAATCATTCACAAATGCGGCAACGGAATTGGTGCTGGGTGCTGATTCCATAGCCATCAAGGAGAATCGCGTAAGTTGAACAAACTTCCAGTGGAACTTCTAGTTGAATTACTATTATTATTTGCAGGCTTTTGGCGTGCAGACTATATCCGGAACTGGTGCTCTGCGTGTGGCTGCCGAGTTCCTGCACACACAGTTGAACAGAAATGAAGTCTTTTACTCGAATCCAACATGGGAGAATCATCACAAGATTTTTGCCGATACTGGTTTCACCTCGTTGAACTCCTACCGCTACTGGGATCAATGCAAGCGTCAGCTGGACTTCAAGGGCATGATGGCTGATCTTGACCAGGCTCCTCCCGGAGCAGTGATAATCTTGCATGCGTGCGCACACAATCCCACTGGCATTGACCCCACCCAGGAACAGTGGAAGGAAATCGCCGATCTGATGGAGCACAAGAAACTCTTCCCGCTGTTCGATTCGGCGTACCAGGGCTTTGCCAGCGGTGACCCCGATCGCGATGCTTGGGCTGTGCGGTATTTCGTGTCGCGTGGCTTTGAACTCCTAACTTGCCAGTCGTTTGCAAAGAACTTTGGCCTGTATTGCGAAAGAGCTGGCAACTTGACGGTGGTGCAACAGCACGCATCCACTAAGGCTGCGGTACACTCCCAATTGACTTTGATTATCCGCGGCATGTACTCCAACCCACCAGCCTATGGCGCTCGCATTGTATCGACCGTGTTGAACAACCCGGCATTGCGTCAAGAATGGATGGACTGCATCAAGCTAATGTCGAGTCGCATCCGGGAGATGCGTTCACTGCTGCGGGACAAGCTCGTTGCACTGGGAACGCCTGGCAACTGGGACCATATTGTCAATCAAATCGGCATGTTCTCGTACACGGGCCTCAATGAGAACCAAGTTCGATACCTAATCAAGGAGTACCACATCTATCTCCTAAAGACAGGTCGCATCAACATGTGTGGCCTCAATACGGGCAACATTGAGTATGTGGCCAAGGCCATTAATGCCGCCGCCACTGCTGGATCGAACGTTTCCTGCCCCTGTGACAACAAATTGTAAAATGTAAAATGTATCTTGAGTAATTGAATGTGCACCGCATATACCAAAATCCACTGAATTATGTTAACCATAGGCATGCAAATTATTTTTGTCTGCACAATTAGCATTTAAATCCAACTGTTGTCCCAACAACAATCCAACTACGAAACATTTAGACCCGGCCTTTATATACACAATGTATACTCTTTACCTAATTTGATTATACAATTTACACGATTTTGCACATTTAGAGTTCCTTATATATTGGTTAAACAATGTTTAGCATAATAACTACTCTTTATTGACTTGTGTGTAGTACTTAGTTACAACGACAATAACATTACAAAAGTATTCAAAATGCGCGTTTCTTTTAAAGTTAACAAACACATTGTTTCATCATCTGTGAAAGGACCTTCTCCTTGACCATGTAGAATCAAAGCTTTGCATGTTGGGTGGAAACAACAAATGATACGCGCCAACAGTTTGGAATATCATCGATAGTTAGTTTTATAGTTAGTACGATAGTAAGTTAGATCTATCGATAGATAGAACAGCTGTAGCTGACAATCAACAACACAACAAATCTGATTTCCCGAAATGTTTACCAGTTAAAAACATCCCCTTGTAGGTAAAAATAGAATAAAAATCTTAATGGCGGGTAAGTAATCAAATAAAACAGCATTGGTTCTTCAATTATAAAGTATTGCCTCTGGACAGACGACCCAAACCAGCCCTCAACCTCGGCGAAAGCGGATAAAACGCCGCTGTTTCCACCCGCCAAGCCTGGCAAACGGATTGACTACGGTACAAATGATACACTGGAGCTGCTGGAGCGCATCCCCAGCCAGGTGGTGGATCTCAAATTGGACGATGTGCTAACCGCCGTTAAGGAGGTGGACAACCTCTGCGACTATGCGCGCTGCAAGACCAAAACGAGCCTAATGGGTCAGGACTGTCCGCACTGCAAGAAGCGGTTCTGCTTCAAGCATGGTCTTCCCGAGGTTCATGGCTGTGGGGAGGAAATCAAGCGGGATGAGCGCAAGAAGTTTCTACACCCCAAGCCGGCGAAGACAGTGCGTCATGAGGAGGATGTGAAACATGCTAAAAAGAGACTGGATGCCAAGTTGAAAGATATGCAAGTGGGGCGCATGCAGAAGGCAACCGGCGGTGGCTCCAAAAAGAAAGGAAAATAGTCTTTAAATTGAAAGTGTCTCCCCATCGCACAATGCAACACACATACACTTACATTTAATCAGCTGATGAAATCAGCTGTTTTCGCGTTCTAAAATCTTACAGTTCTTAAAAATATGATTAAAATACAGCCTAGACATTTAATAAACCTGAAAAACTTCGGCTTTAATCTGCTGTCTACCCGTGATTTGCATTATATTCAGGGTCAGTCGCCAGAGCCAAAAATACGCGAATATTTCTATTACATAGATCATGAAGGAATGGTAAGGCGCACTAAACATTAGTTGGCATTTAATTATTTATGATTTGCCGCTTCTCAGGTCTTCTTGGACGATGCTAAAATGAAAAACTTCACCAGTTGCTACAAGGAGAAGGATTTCCTCAGGTTCTTCTTTTTTCGCCTCCGTATTAACAAAACGCAGCGATATCTCAGCGACTTTCCGTACATTTCACTGTGCGGACGCGAACGCAACTTTATACGTTGCGACGACACGCCGCTTGTATTCACTGAACAATTAAAAAAGGCAGACGGCGGCGAGGAGGTTCTTAGCTATGCCCACGCTGGACAAGTCCTAACTTTGCCCTATGAACCACACAAATTATACATGGACCCCAAGAATGGGCGGGTTTATCATCCAGCAACGCCACAAGTGGGCGGCATTGGCCTGGTTCGTTCAAAATTGGCCATTGAACTCAGTCAACACTTTGAGTTTTCAGTCGGTGATGCGTCTCCAACACATTTTAAATGGCACGGGGAGCGGTTAAAGCTGGAAAACGATTGGGTTACCGGTACTCAAAGATTTCCCATGAGCGAGGAATGTAAATAGTTAAATAATATAACATTAAACTTTAATGGAATATAATTGCGACAACATTTTAACTACGATTAGTTACAGGAGTAATATATGTACACATAATTTTACTCAATGCTCAACGGCTTGAATTCTCCCTCCTTCACCCATGAAAGGCCTGTGGCAGCGCCACCATTAGTCTGTTGCAGACTGGAGTCAGTCGCATTACTCCTGCCCGCTTTGATTCGCTCCAAGACAGGCCCATGCACATCTGGCTGAAACTTTTCAAATACTATGTAATGCGGATCCTCCGTAGGTTGAGGGTCATAGATGTGCGCCTTGCTGTCCTTGATGTTCTCCAGAACGCGGGCCGCAAACTCCTCTCGATTGTTGAGCAGCAGCTCGGCGGCCTCAGGGTTCTTTAATTTGTCAAATTCAATGCCCCGAATGCTGTAAATGGGATCCAAAAATATCGCCTGCATGTACTTGAAGAGCTGCCAGAGGTGATCTTCGCCGCATCGCCATTCTGGAAAGGCATGACTAATGTCCAAGCTGTTGGTATAGGGGCACACATGGGGATGCAAGATATTTTGCTGAAAAATTACGGTCTGAAAGGGATTGATAAGTGAAAAACTTTCTGGACATAGAGCTGGCAGAACTAACTGGAAGACTTTTATCGTCGGGAAAACGATCGGGCAGCAGAAGAGAGAAACGAAATACGCTTTCTGAATAAAATCCCTGGCGTCCAAAGAAGACGCCAAACCATTCTGCAAGAAGTAAATGAGAGGAAAATTAAAGATATATGTACTTATGTTTGTACGTAGAATAGCTATACTAACGCAAGGAATTGGCTAAACTGGGTATTGTATATATGCCACCCAACTTCTCGGACTCAATCATTTTGCTAGAAATGGAAATAGTTAGATGGTTTGCTATGGACGAAAAGCAGGAGCTTACTATTCAGCCAGGATTTTGTACTCCTGCTGGATGGGTGTTAACAAAATCTTCTCGTCCTTTTTATTTGCATCCAAATCGAGTGTCATCATGCGAAGAATTTGTATTATTATTTTATTTTATTATTATTGTTTTGTTTTTTTGTTTCAACGATGTATCGATATGTGCGAGACACTATCGATTTTACTATATTCATAGAGATGAGTAACTAAGCATAAACTGAATTCCATGATGATAATTTGAATTTATTATTATCGAATCAATGTTTTAAATACAAATATATATTCTATGTTTGTTGAGAAGCGGGTTGGGACATTTTGGGAGAAAGATGTACCCGAAAACAACGAGACGTTTTTAAGTAAAGTTTTCTATAGCCATAGCATTGGGCTCTTTTTCTTAGTATAGAACAGTCCTTCCGGCCTTCCACCAACAGCGTGTGCAATATCCTGCATCAGTTTTGCAGAGCATTCATAAATGAGAGGATCCCAGAGGATAGTCCACAAACCGAGTTGTGGTTTTGGTCGCTGGTTTTTTTAATTTCTCGTTTTTTCTTGTTTCTCTTTGTATTTCGTTGCTCTCTTTTTTCGATCTAATTTCTCTCATTTTCTGTTTCCACTTTCCACCGCTCAAATGGCAGAAAACCGTTTAATTCAAATCTGAGATACCAGGCGCACAGAAATCAGCAGAAGGTAGCTGGTTTTTTTTATTTCTCGTTTTTTCTTGTTTCTCTTTGTATTTCGTTGCTCTCTTTTATCGCTCTCATTTTTCTCATTTTCTGCCTCCACTTTCCACCGCTCAAATGGCAGAAAACCGTTAAATTCAAATCTGAGATACCAGGCGCACAGAAATCAGCAGAAGGTCGCTGCTTTTTTTAAATTCTCTTTGTATTTCGTTGCTCTCTTTTATCGCTCTCATTTTTATCATTTTCTGCCTCCACTTTCCACCGCTCAAATGGCAGAAAACCGTTAAATTCAAATCTGAGATACCAGGCGCACAGAAATCAGCAGAAGGTCGCTACTTTTTTTAAATTCTCTTGTTTTCTTGTTTCTCTTTGTATTTCGTTGGTCTCTATTTTCGCTCTCATTTTTCTCATTTTCTGCCTACCACTTTCCACCGCTCAAATGGCAGAAAACCGTTAAATTCAAATCTGAGATACCAGGCGCACAGAAATCAGCAGAGGGTCGCTGCTTTTTTTAAATTCTCTTTTTTTCTTGTTTCTCTTTGTATTTCTTTGCTCTCTTTTTTCGCTCTCATTTTTCTCATTTTCTGCCTTCCTTTCCACCGCTCAAATGGCAGGAAACCGTAACATTCAAATCTGAGATACCAGGCGCACAGAAATCAGCAGAAGGTCGCTGCTTTTTTTAAATTCTCTTTTTTTCTTGTTTCTCTTTGTATTTCGTTGCTCTCTTTTATCGCTCTCATTTTTCTCATTTTCTGCCTACCACTTTCCACCGCTCAAATGGCAGAAAACCGTTAAATTCAAATCTGAGATACCAGGCGCACAGAAATCAGCAGAAGGTCGCTTCTATTTTTAAATTCTATTTTTTCTTGTTTCTCTTTGTATTTCGTTGCTCTCTTTTATCGATCTTATTATTCTCATTTTCTGCCTACCACTTTCCACCGCTCAAATGGCAGAAAACCGATAAATTCAAATCTGAGATACCAGGCGCACAGAAATCAGCAGAAGGTCGCTGCTTTTTTTAAATTTTCTTTTTTTCTTGTTTCTCTTTGTATTTAGTTGCTCTCTTTTATCGCTCTCATTTTTATCATTTTCTGCCTACCAATTTCCACCGCTCAAATGGCAGAAAACCGTTAAATTCAAATCTGAGATACCAGGCGCACAGAAATCAGCAGAAGGTCGCTGCTTTTTTTAAATTCTCTTTGTATTTCGTTGCTCTCTTTTATCGCTCTCATTTTTATCATTTTCTGCCTCCACTTTCCACCGCTCAAATGGCAGAAAACCGTTAAATTCAAATCTGAGATACCAGGCGCACAGAAATCAGCAGAAGGTCGCTACTTTCTTTAAATTCTCTTGTTTTCTTGTTTCTCCTTGAATTTCGTTGGTCTCTATTTTCGCTCTCATTATTCTCATTTTCTGCCTACCACTTTCCACCGCTCAAATGGCAGAAAACCGTTAAATTCAAATCTGAGATACCAGGCGCACAGAAATCAGCAGAGGGTCGCTGCTTTTTTTAAATTCTCTTTTTTTCTTGTTTCTCTTTGTATTTCGTTGCTCTCTTTTTTCGCTCTCATTTTTATCATTTTCTGCCTCCACTTTCCACCGCTCAAATGGCAGAAAACCGTTAAATTCAAATCTGAGATACCAGGCGCACAGAAATCAGCAGAAGGTCGCTGCTTTTTAAAATTCTCTTTTTTACTTGTTTCTCTTTGTATTTAGTTGCTCTCTTTTTTCGCCCTCAATTTTTCTCATTTTCTGCCTACCTTTCCACCGCTCAAATGGCAGGAAACCGTAACATTCAAATCTGAGATACCAGGCGCAAAGAAATCAGCAGAGGGTCGCTGCTTTTTTTAAATTCTCTTTTTTTCTTGTTTCTCTTTGTATTTCGTTGCTCTCTTTTATCGCTCTCATTTTTCTCATTTTCTGCCTCCACTTTCCACCGCTCAAATGGCAGAAAACCGTTAAATTCAAATCTGAGATACCAGGCGTACAGAAATCAGCAGAAGGTCGCTGCTTTTTTAAAATTCTCTTTTTTCTTGTTTCTCTTTGTATTTTGTTGCTCTCTTTTATCGCCCTAATTTTTCTCATTTTCTGCCTCCACTTTCCACCGGTCAAATGGCAAAAAACCGTTAAATTCAAATCTGAGATACCAGGCGCACAGAAACCAGCAGAAGGTCGCTGCTTTTTTTTAGTTCTCTTTTTTTCTTGTTTCTCTTTGTATTTAGTTGCTCTCTTTTTTCGCCCTAATTTTTCTCATTTTCTGCCTCCACTTTCCACCGCTCAAATGGCAGAAAACCGTTAAATTCAAATCTGAGATACCAGGCGCACAGAAATCAGCAGAAGGTCGCTGCTTTTTTTAAATTCTCTTTTTTTCTTGTTTCTCTTTGTATTTCGTTGCTCTCTTTTATCGCTCTCATTTTTCTCATTCTCTGCCTCCACTTTCCACCGCTCAAATGGCAGAAAACCGTTAAATTCAAATCTGAGATACCAGGCGCACAGAAATCAGCAGAAGGTCGCTGCTTTTTTTAAATTCTCTTTTTTTCTTGTTTCTCTTTGTATTTCGTTGCTCTCTTTTATCGCTCTCATTTTTCTCATTTTCTGCCTCCACTTTCCACCGCTCAAATGGCAGAAAACCGTTAAATTCAAATCTGAGATACCAGGCGCACAGAAATCAGACAGAAGGTCGCTGCTTTTTTTAAATTCTCTTTTGTACTTGTTTCTCTTTGTATTTAGTTGCTCTCTTTTTTCGCCCTAATTTTTCTCATTTTCTGCCTCCACTTTCCACCGCTCAAATGGCAAAAAACCGTTAAATTCAAATCTGAGATACCAGGCGCACAGAAATCAGCAGAAGGTCGCTGCTTTTTTTTAATTCTCTTTTTTTCTTGTTTCTCTTTGTATTTAGTTGCTCTCTTTTTTCGCCCTAATTTTTCTCATTTTCTGCCTCCACTTTCCACCGCTCAAAAGGCAGCAAACCGTTAAATTCAAATCTGAGATACCAGGCGAACAGAAATCAGCAGAAGGTTGCTGGTTTTTTTAAATTCTCGTTTTTTCTTGTTTCTCTTTGTTTTTCGTTGCTCTCTTTCTTCGATCTAATTTCTCTCATTTTCTGCCTCCACTTTCCACCTCTCCAATGGCAGAAAACGGGTAAATTCAAATCTGAGATACCAGGCGAACAGAAATCAGCAGAAGGTCGCTGCTTTTTGTAATTTCTGTTTTTTTCTTGTTTCTCTTTGTATTTCGATGCTCTCTTTTTTCGATCTACTTTTCCTCATTTTCTGCCGCCACTTTCCACCTCTCCAATGGCAGAAAACGGCTAAATTCAAATCTGAGATACCAGGCGAACAGAAATCAGCAGAAGGTCGCTGGTTTTTTTTTTATTCTCGTTTTTTTCTTGTTTCTCTCTTTATTTCGTTGTTATTTTTTTTCGATATAATTTCTCTCATTTTCTGCCTCCACTTTCCATCGCTCAAATGGCAGAAAACCGTTAAATTCAAATCTGAGATACCAGGCGAACAGAAATCAGCAGATTTCGATAGTAGATTTATGATTTACATAATACAATAAGATTGATAAGTGAATGTGTATGTGGCAGCAGATATCCGATATTTGACCTCATTCGATATGTGACCTCAGTCGAGATACGATTGAATTACCATGAAGGGGCTATTGAGTTCCAGATAATCATACGATCCTTATCTTGTAAGATTCCACATCTTATCTGTGCTCTACTTCGAGTCAAGTGGCCCTCTAGATATCTAAAAGATTTCTTCTTGGTAGCCTTGTCTGGCTTATGAATGGTCAGGGAAAGCTGTTTAAACAGCTGATGTGCGCAACCTATGCGTCAAGATAGTGGATATTACTTGTATTACACACATACATATGTACATATATACGAAAGTATATAGATACTGTATCCACTGCGTACTCGCAGACGTAATACTTTTTAAGTGGTATGTATGTTATTTGGCCTGTTCTAAATTTGGCACTACGTCAGACCATACTATATGTACAATGCATTATACTATTTTTTTTTATTTTTGTTCGGTGTCTCTTTTTTTACCACGCACTTGATTTGAGTTTTTTTTTTGCCTTTTTGCGATTGCAAAACGATTCCGTTCCGTGACAAAAATAAGCAATCGAAAATGGTTATCTAACCCGAAAGAGTCCCAATGGGTATTGGCTCCACCCTTGGGTGGCGCTATTTTAATTGTTTCAGATAAGGAATTTTGATTAGAAACTGGGTTTATCTAGGGCTTTCAGTGGAATGGGTTGACCTAGACTAAAAGTTGGATCCGTCTAGAACTTCTGTTGAAATTTTAGGATTAGTTTGCGTAATTTTTGCTTCCGCTTTGGCACACATCTATGAAAATACACACGCACATGCACACCTCCCAACACACACACACACACCCCCTATTGTAACAGTAAAAACTTAATTTAGCTCAAAGGAACAAATTTAACGTTAATTAATCAAAATTGGTAGATCAACAAAACAATGCCACAATCAAACAATTCAAATAGTTCCCATATCCTCCAGTATTCGATGTCTGTATATCCTTCAATGCCGATCGGCATTAACCGTAAAATTCTACATGTCGAAAGTACCGCTAGCAGTGCCAGAACTGTTCCCAGGCGCACGCTCGCCACCGCCATTGATGACACGAACCTGCACGCAAATTGGGGTCGGACGGGACCGTTCCTTGTCCCCAGCATTCTCGAGTGGCTCCATCTGTGGCGAGCTTTTGGCAGCATCGGAGCTTGTTTGATTGTGGCTGCTTCTTGCACACACATACACGTACAAATGCACATAGCGCACTCTAGAATACACACGCACACCTACGCACCTTAATCGCACTTTATGTTTGTATGTAATATCGAACTATCGGCTGAGATGTATGTAGAATACTTCCCGAAGGAAACATCCCAGACGATAGTTTGATTTTTGGTTGTGGTCTTGGCTTTAAAATTTTGTGTGTGTTTCATTGTTGTTGTTGGTAAAACTGCTGTTGGCTTAGACTTAATTTGAACACTGATCAATCCAAACTAAACTAATTAATATATATTTTCCCTTGTTATGCAGTATGTAGTGGTGCCTACGCGTCGCTCCACAGCGGAGGCCTTCCAAATACTCATCTCACACGCCCTGGGCGATGCGGGCAGTCCCTATCTGGTGGGAGCGGTAAGTTATTGGATCTCAAATCTGTGGAAATCCATTTTTTATACATACATATATCTTTGTTTGTGCCCTACGCAGATGTCGGAGGTGATCATGAAGCATCTGCGCAACCATCCGGGCGCTTCGGGCTTGACAAATGAACTGCAAAGCATGTCTCAGGTGCTGGAGTCGCAACTCCTCAATGCCACGGATGTGGCCACAAAAGTGGCCTCGGAGGCTATCCATTCGTTCCAAACGAATTTAACAAAATCAGCTGAACAGCTGGAAGGACAGGTGAGTCTTGGGAGTATTTTCTATGCTCGCCAATCTTAACTTTTGTATTTCACGCAGTTTACGGAAATCGAGCAGTTTGAGGGCCTTCAATACGCGCTGTTCTCCACCAGCTTTGTGGAGGTGCTGGGCGGCATCTTCTTCCTGTTCACCGCCTGCTTCATACTCAAGGACAAATACAAGGCCGCGCGAAGTGTAGCTGGTAAGGATCATCCATGAGTCCGAGTGCTATAGCGCATCCCTCTATCTATCAATATACATATCTATCTATCTCGTTGGCAATCTTCTGTCAATTTCGGTTCTTTTGTTTGATTCTGTTGGTTTCGGCAGGCGATAAGAGACTGACGTCAGTGGCCGCGAAAGACGTTGAATCTGTCAATTCGGAATGTTTCGTCCTGTGCACGGACATTGCCCTGCGAGAACGCGCGTGATAAGTTTAGGCGCTCTCAAAAGATAACTATTTTGGCCTCAGATCCCGCAAGGTGGGTTCCTCAAAATTCTCGTTTCGTTATGTACGTTCTGTTATCCGTGCGTTTCATCGTTCAGCGTTGCGTTCTATTAATCTGACATGCTCGCATGGCCCGCCCTAACATCGAAATTGTCCTCAGTCCTCTCAGACATGGCTTTACATAATTAAAACTATATATGTTCCTTTGCTTAATGGGATATATCTAATGAATTGCGTTTCTTTTCGGATTTTACAGATGCTCAGGAACAGCACCAGCAGCGGGGCAACCAGATTGCCTAATACCAGCCTATACTTGAGGTTATGCTGCGCACTCAGAGCACTGATGGCATTTTGGGTGAACTCATACTGACTGAAAATCATCTTTAATTTAATCTCCACACACACACACACACGAGCCCCTTCGGATTGGTTTCTTTTGGAATTTGGATCATAGGGAGGCATAGGGCTGGATACATGCTCAAGTTTTTATCAGAATGGAAAGGATAGAATAGCCCCGATATCCATACATGCCTAAACAGTTCAGCTATGTAGATATATATACATACATACATACTTACACTCTCAATCACCCACTCCCAAACTCGCGAGTCATATACATATACATTTTAATCGGTTCATTTTACCTGTAAACGCTAATTTACATAGTCGTAGATAGACCTAGTTCTGGTATTTTAGGCTAAAGAAAAATTAAAATGGAGAAAAAAAAATAAAGCAAGCAAAAACACTTCATGCGTTTTCGAGGATGTTCTCCATTAGGCGGCCACTCCTCTACTCCACTTCACCGCTCTCCAATCAAGACCCAGACTGTTGTAAATAGTTAAAGAAATCCTATCTTCAGTGGCAGGAGCAACGCTCGGATTATCTCAGGCAACGCATGGAACGCATGGAGTGTCAATTGTTGCTACATTTATGTGTGTTTAGATACACATATAAAGTATGAATACATATATACAGTATGAATACATACATATAGACAGTATGAATACATATGATTTGTAAATATTAATAAGCATTGGGCCATTGTATAAGTTCATAGTCTCTATCCATAATCAATCTAATCGTAATTCTGTAATTTTATGTTAACTAGAACTTTAATCGTAATCTTAACTCTAGTTAGAATCGCGTAACAAATTGAATGAAATGTCTGCACCCTCAACTATTACTGAATATTACAAGTTAACTATTTAAACAAACGAAAAAGCTGTATACCCTTTATACCCTACAGCATTAATCTGCTGGCATCATCTATGTTTTTTATGTTAACTCTTAGTCCAATGTTAGCCCCTTCAAAAACTGAAATTGAAAGCGACAAAAAGACTGCAAATAATCAAAATCGATATTCGTCTTAGGAATAACCAAAATATAGGGCAAACAAATATATATGAATATGATTTGGCAATTGATGATTACTGGGGCAATAAAGAATTTTTAAAAATAATCTGCAATAATTCTTTTATTTCGTTCGATATTTTTCAACGGAGGGAATCGGAAACAACTTACCCGGCTGATAAGCGAATTAGTCTGAGATTACGTACATATATTACGCATTCATATTTATATGTAAGTATATTTAGAATTCATAGATAAGAAATATTTATTTGCAAATATTTCCTCTTGATATGAAAATTTCAAAAAGGGCATGACTCGATCGTCGGCTCAAAGGCCTAATGTCTAATACTCTTTCTAAATAGAAAAGCAGAGAGTTTTGGAAAAAAAAATGTCGGCAAAAGACAACACATTCTAAAATTACAAAGCAGGTACAGGTTGAGGGCCGCATAGGCCTGAACCAATTGTTGGGCCATAGTTCGTTTTTGCGTTACCTAAGACCATGATCATTTTCTGGAAAATTCCATATCAGTTATTTGCATAAAGATAGATGCACATGATAAGGCTTAAAAATCCCTTATGAGAAATACAGGCAATATTTTACTCCTTCACTACAGAGTAAACATCAATTTTAAATCTTATCGACGCATCTAATCAACGAAGTACATACATATGTACGTATGTGTATGTAGGTTTTGCACGTTTGTTTGTTTGTTTGAACGATAACGAGGAATTCGAATCGAATGCAAAGCTTCATTCCAGCTAAGAAACGCCATACCAGAAGCTGTACTTAAATTCATACATGCATGGATGTGTACAAATGTATATATGTACATATGTATTTAGGTACAAATGTGTATGTATGTATGCAGTCCACAAATAAAACGGAGTACAAAAGAAAGGTAAAGAAAATAATACATTTGTACTTAAGGAACAAAAAACCGTATAATAAAGGACCTAAAGAAAGAAAACCAAAAAAAGGTTAAGGAAAACCGAAGATAAGAACAGAGTGACAAAAGGAATGTAAAGAGAAGAGAACACAAACAACGCTAACGTGACGTTCACCAGATACACACACACTCTCGAATATTAGAGGAAGAAAGGCGACGGCTTGAACACACATTTCGACAGCTTAGTTTTCAATTCTACAACTAAAATGAAGTAGGAAAATAAAGTTGAAGAAATAACGCAAAGTAAGTAGAAGGACCTGCAAAGAGATAACAAAAAAAGGTTAAAGAAAACTGAAGTCAAGAACACAGAGAGAATAGAGAATAGGTAAGAGAAGAGAAAAAACAACCCTAACCCACACACACACACACGTGAGCACATCATGATAAGCGAATATTAGCACAAGAGAGACGGCGGCTTAAAAATTCATTTCGATTTCGTCAGTGGCCGTGCGCGCATGAATTATTCTTAAAAAAAGAAAACAATGGAGCAGGTGGAAAGTTTTTTAGCTGATAAAACTGTGGAAGCTTGTTCTCAACACAATCATGTCCCCAATAAATCGAAACCCACTGAAAACGCTGACAAAAGCGACAGCGATGTGGAAATAGTCGAATGCTTCGGTCTGGATGAGCCAAATTCACAAAAAATAGGCGAAAATACACTCTTTCCTCCAGCGAAGAGGAATGTGACGCAAATTCCGTTGCCGTTGGCCACGCCGCCGTGGTCGCCCACAGACACTGCAATGCCTATCCTCACGAACCTGCTGAGCGGGAACGGACCCATCCAAATTCCACCTGGCATGGTACTTTGCATTCCGTGCTATCTGTGCCAGAAGCAGTTCTACGACGTTGATCTTCTCAAGGAGCACCTAAACCAACATGTCATGGAAATGTACCAAAATAGTTCGCAGCCGCAAGTCACGGGTCAGCCAACCATGCCACAGCCTTTCTTAAAACCGATTAAAATCCACTTTTCAAGTGAACAATCAAAACTACCGCGCGATCCATCATTTAATAACACATATTTACAACATATAAAAAAAAATAAAGACTCCGCCGAATGTTCGATTTGCAAGATCGTGCTAAGCTCTCGCCAGTGCCTGGATTTACACCATAGGCGCTTCCATAAGGAGAAACCACGCAAAAGGGAGAAGCGTTTCGCATGCATGTACTGCAACTTGCAGTACGTACACAAAGGCCACTTAAATCGACATATAAAAAAAGTCCACAATTTTCATGGTTTTGATCTTCCAAAAGAACCAGCGTGTCGGATTCCGTCCCCCTGTTCATCTTCAGCGTCCACATCGGAGTCAAATTCAACAGAAACTAGCACTGAATTGTTTATTGCAGAGCCAGCCGTCGACTATAATCCGACCAGCGGAGAGTTCATAGCGCCCTGGGAATTGGGCAATGGGGAGCCAACCGCTGAATATTGTCCTCCCATATTGCCCTCAGTAGAAGCGAGCCCTCAAACGATTAAAGCGGAGCCTGGCGTCAATTCATGTGCGGCAAGCGAATCGACTGAAGAGCTGGCAGCGAAGGCAGCCGCCCACTACTGTCCGCCCGCCCAGTGGGCCGCCATGGGCCTCCCGTTTGCAAATGGTTACTTCATTCCCATGGATCCCAATAAAATTTATCCACCACGACGGGACGATTGCTTCTTTCCGTATGTGTTTCTAGTCTTATATGTATGTAGCATCCGAAATAATTTTGTTTTATTTTTTCTAGTGAATTTAGCAACTGGATCAGCGAAGAAGATATGGAGAAGTATGCCGGACGGGGCCAGACCTGAAATGCACTCTAAGAAGGAGACTGAAGCCTTAATGGATATATGCAATTCCACTTTTAATTTTTGTCATTAATTATCAGCAAAGCTGATAGTCCGCTTTAACCGTTTGAGTGAATTCCACTCGTATCTGTCGGCACTCGTACGTAATAGAAGTGGTACTGGAGACCCAATCCAATACCAAAAACTAATAAAGAACTGAAATCCAAGAAATATTATTCCGAGTGTTTACAAAAATAAATTTTGGCGTGTTATACAAAGTAGATTTTAAGAGAAGTGAGAGGGACACTGTCAAGTGTAAACAATCTTGCCACAGAACTGAAAGATCGAATTAACTCATACATATTTGGCAAGTTTTATTTATGAGTACCATCGGAAATGCAATCCAAACGAGAAGGAACGTGGGAGTCGCTTCTGGGGACGCGACTCTACTTATACCCGTACTCATTTTTAGCTTATGATTTTATAATGTTAGAATTAAAACATGTACATTTTACCTTTTTTTTTGCTGCATCTTATCTACATCTACAATGTATATTCTACATCTAACATGTAGATTCTACATGTAGCATTTAGATTCTACATCTTTTTCGCTTAAGGGCGCTCGCGCACTGAACGCGGCCGAGTTTGCGAGCGAGAAAGAGAATGAGTAGCGGGTCTCTGGCTGAAGTAGGTGGGGGAGCAACTGAAAATTAATTTCGTCATTCTGGCTATAATTATGATCCGATCTGATTCATATTCGGCAAGCAGGTAGATATGGTCATTCTCTACGATACTGCGATTTATTCAGTTTTATTTTATCTTTAAAATTGTGCCTGCCACAGATTTTCGTCCTTTGTGGGGGCGGGTCGATATATTGAAATACACTTGTAGCAGTGTGATATCACATGAGTCTGGAAACCAAATTTGGTTGCCCTAACTCTTATAGTCTCTGAGATCCAGGCGCTCAACAAGACGGACGGACGGATCAAGAATATGATGAAGAATATATATACTTTATGGGGTCGGAAACGTTTCCTTCTCTGCGTTACACACATCCACTTTTACCACAAATCTAATATACCCCTTAACTCTTTTTTGAGTACGGGTATAATAAGCAGAGTTACTGTTAGAACAGTTATTTTGTAACTAAAACTAGCTAAAACACGATACTTGATACAGCGTTTTTTACACCGTTATATGGCGATAGATATAGAAACGACATAAAATTCATTCGAAACATTTAACTATAAAAAGGAGAATTAATATGAGTATATCTGAAGGTCGAAAATTACTTTTAGGGGAACCTAAGAATTCATTCTGCAATTAAAACTATAAAAAGGAGAAATGCTCTGAGTGTACATACATATGTATGTACCTATCTGAATTGAGTTAAGTGCATTTTCCGTTTTTATGCTTCCATAAGCTTAGCTTCTTTTATAGTTAAAGGTATTATGAGAATTATTTGACTTGATTAAATATTGTCGTCGTCTGGCCAATCAGTAAACACATTTTATAATCAGAAGAGTAACAATATACGAAGCTGGAGTTATAGGCACCACACAATTAACACATGTGGCAACACAGATGCATTTGCAAATATTAATAGGAAAATAATTAAATAAATAAGTTGAAAATGCACTTATTATAAGTACAGTCCCAGGATTGCTGAGCAATAAATTGCTGGCTGCCTCCCAATACACACAGCCATACTCCAGTAGAACTCCAACAAGCTCCCAGCCAGATTCAAGCGACGACGATGCTAAAAAGATACCGGAAATGTAACAGGAAACAAAATGACTTAATGGTCACGATTGGCGAAATGGCGAGCTGACTCCTGACACTTGACTCCCGACCATCGACAACCATCGCCCACCATCCCCACTGCCTGACTCCTGGTTCAATGGCGTCACTGAATTTGCACTTAAAAAGGCTGCAGCTGCAGGTGTGAGACTTGTCTTTTGATCGTTCTTGTGCCTGCATGAAGAGGTTATCATTTGTTATATGTATTTGGCTTCTGCTTTAAATGTGGGACCATTTTTGTTCGATATACTTTCTCCTTGTAATGGTTATTAGCGAATATAACCATCATGCTCGTTCAATAATATTCGAATAAAACAGAAATCATCTGGAGAATACATTTAAGCATGAAAAAACTTCAGAAAAATGTGTTGCATTGAAAGTGATTTTTATTATTTTGCAGCATATACATACATACCCCACACCAACTAATATTTACACGTAGTTATGTAGTGGTTGTTACCACTTCGGTGGAAGTGTCATCTTCAGAGGTAGAGCTCCTTTCGGAAGAATCCTCGTCGGAGGAAGAGCTCCCGTCGGAAGAAGAGTCCTTGTCGGAGGAAGAGCTCTCATCGGAGGAAGAGCTGTCTTCGGAAGAAGAGCTCTTATCGGAGGAAGCTTCCCGATAGCGCTCAATGATCTCCTCCAGCTGGCGCTGCACACTGGGCTTTTCAAGAGCATATTCGGCCACGGTCTGGCCTACACAGCTACTGGCATCGAGACCCACGCCCAGTAGTTGCAAGCCCTGCAGCTTTAGGCTGAGTAGTGCTCTGGGTGCATCCCTTAGCTGGTCGATGGCCTTATTGATGCCCCTGTGGCATGAGATGCTTTCGGAAGTGCGATTCAGGCAGATGTTGATTTGTCCAAGCAGATCATTGGTGGCGTTTTGGAACTGGGTGATGGTTTCGTGGACCTTCTGCTCGTACTGGCCCTGGCGAGCTTGCAACTCCTCCAGGCAGCTGTGCAGATAGGCCGTATAGCGATTCTGCAACTCGTTGATGATGTCTTCGGCCTCGGCGCGAAGCGCTCCAGCTGTTCGGCTGCCCAGTCGTTCCACTGTTCCTTGATTTCCCCGGCATACTTTTGCCTCTGCTCTTCCAGCTGCTCGTTATTTCGGCAATCGAGGCCTCCAGCTCTACGGCCGAGGCACTGATTCTTTCGAGAGTTTTTAGGGCCTCTTGCAGGGCGTTGCGCTTAACTCGGTCGGACACATTCCGTATAACACCACGCAGATTCTGCAGCGCAGCCTGCACATTCGAGGAGAAGTCTGAGAGTGCATCAGCGAAAGCCTTGTGGAGAGCTTGGGCGAGCTGTTCTCCAAAATTGGCAGCATCCTGGGCGAACTGACTGGTGGAGTTCTTCAGGCTATCCAAGAAGTCCTCAGCAATGGCCGATCCGTTTTTCCCGACACCAATGATACCGTCAACGATGTGCTGGCTCGCATTTCCCAATCGGTCCACAGCCCCTCAAGGAGGTTTGGCTCCGGCTTGGCCAGAACACATCCAGCGCTGACGGTTAGGACGAGCAAGAGTAGCGTTGTCTTGTTCAAATGCATCTTCTCGATCGACTGTTGGCCAAATGAAACTCTCTTACCGACAGTTCTCCCACATTTTATACCATTTCTGGGAGCTTGGTAAATAGGATTGCCGTCTACTAATTCAATATTGGATTAAAGATTACATCTATTTAATTAGTTTAAATCTATTAAGTTAGTTAATATTTGAGCAGCTGATTGCCCATGCTGACGTGCAACGCGGGAAAGTGCATGCGGGTTGGCTAATGATATAACGGATATATATCATATCAAATCAGATATACATAGATGAGTATGAATGGAGTTTTTGAGTGATTCTTTCGTATATATATGTACATGGGACACATTTGAGATCCACAATAATCGTATGGACTAATTTCAATTGCTGTACTTTTTAAATTGAATAAGCAAATTATTCGATAACGCGAATTCCGAGCTGCCAAACTGCTTTGATGCGGGTTCAGCAAACATTCCTTTATGTATCGCATGATATCACATGAGTCTGGAAACCAAATTTGGTTTCTCTAGCTCTTATAGTCTCTGAGATCTAGGCGCTCATCGAGGCGGACAGACGGACATGGCTATATCGACTCGGCTATTGATGATGATCAAGAATATATATACATACATACTTTATTGGGTCGGAAACATTTCCGTTCACATCCACTTTTACCACAAATCTAATATACCCCTTAACTCTTTAATGAGTACGGGTATAAAAATGATGACTCTCAAGTAATTGAAGACGGCAAGCTCAAAGTGCGGGGACAGTAATACAATGTCGTAGAGGTTCGGATCTTAACTCAGAGAAAGGGAAGCCACATTTAATAACGATATTATATTATAAGTCTGACAAAAATACCAGAATGTGGTTACATTTTTTTGCCGTTAGCAGCGTCGTCTGTTGTCAATCCAATTTGTTGCTGCATCTCCGCATTTATAACAAATCCATATGTACATTCATACATACATATATGTATATGTTTATGTACATATATTTTTAGTATATTCGCGTAAATTCTGACTTTTCTAGTAAATATGTATGTAAATACATATATACATACATGCCTGTGCTATTCTTTTTGATATTTCCACACTCCCGCGTTGCTGCATAGAATATGGCAGACAAAACAAAAACATATTTTATGTAGGTTGTTTGATATGTAGGTTCACACATACATACAAATGCTTGTATGCGTTTTGCGGCAATATTTTATAGATCATCCCATTATAGAAGAAACAAGGAGCAGGCAAGGAAGACCGTTTTGTTATTTTCCTTATTTCTCTTCTCTTCTATTCTTAAGAACTCGGCGCACTTGACACACAACATACATACATACACATGTGCCCATGCATTGCCATCTCGTTCATATTACGCCCCTCTTTTTCTCTTTCTTCCTCTGCCTTTTGTTTCTGCTCAGTTGCGCAGTTATTTTAGATTCAGTTGCTCGAAGGGGTCTGCAAGGGGAAGTCGAAACGCAGGCGCGCCGTTACAAGACAATGCTAAACGAAATGAAATAAGTTGAACACAATAACAAAGGAGATTGGAAAGCGAAACCACAATAGAACCGTATATTAGTGGAGAATTTGTGTCAGCAAGTAAGTGGACAGCTGGACATTCGTTTACTTCAAGATGGTAATGGTGAAATTCAGTTTCAGTGGTCAACAATGGACAAAGCATCCTCAGAGATGGAGACAGACTTGACTGGCCTCCACTTGGGTTGCTTGCTGTGCGATAAATGTTTCGTCGGCATAGATGCGCTCCAGGAGCATCACCTGTCCCACTTTCCGTCGGTCACCCAACCGATCCCCAAGAGTCATTCCTGTGACCTGTGTGGGCGCGCGCTGCACTCGCTGCAGCAGCTGAAGAATCACTACAAGCAATACCACGAGGCCCTGGTCAGTACGGAATCGAAAACGGGAGAGTTTTTTGAGTGCAATCGTTGCGCCAAATACTTCGTCCTTAAGGACTATCTCACCCTCCACATAAAGCTTAAGCATTCCGAGTGGGAGATAAAGAAACCAAATGATTCGAATCATCTGCCACGGAACCCCCAGCATCAAAAATATCCACCGCGCTTTGATTTCATCAACGGCGGGTAAGTTGAGTGATTGATTTTTCGGTTTAATTGATTAACTCTAACCCACACTTTTCCTATCCAGGACTGTGTGCTTGGACGACGACTATTAAGTCTCGGAGCCCACATCTCAATATTGCTATTGTGGAATATTTTTTGATTTTTGTAAAAAATCGCCGTTATGGTTCATGAATTGGACATTGTTGGCTCTGAGAGCTGAATTGCCGAAGTAGCTGAAATTAACCACAGATGCTATATAAGGAGAAAGAAGCGTGCCTGCATTTCTTAAAAATAAATTTTTTACTAAATACAAATGTACATATTATGCAATATCACACAGTTGATTTAATATCGCTGCCAAGTGGACAAAATTGGTTTAATCTCTTATATATAGTATGTATGTAAATAAATACGATTGAAAAAGAAGAACGTTTCCGTTTCAAACTATCACTAATGCGCAACGCTGAAAGATCTGTTGGAATTTCATGGCAATGATAAGAAGTTGACGCCAGCTGGTGCAATAGCTGTAGGATAGGATATGGTGTGTACAAGGGCTGGTATCGCCGGCAAAACGTTTGTTCGTTTTCAAATAAAATTCAACCCAGGCACCCTGTATCCGCATATGTTCTCATTTCACGACTTTTCGCTGACATGCGCATTTTTAACCCCCCAGCCAATGTCCCGGTCGGTCACGTCGCTCGCTTGGTCTCTGGTCTCTTCTGGCTCTCTCCGCCATGCTGGTGGTGAGCCCACAGAGCGGCGGCCATCTCCGTCGATTTTTGTCCATCGCTTGCTGCAGTCGTGCTTTTCGTTGTTCTTAAAATTAATTTCCCGTTGGCGTGCCGTTCCGCGTAGTCTTCGTTTTGGCTTCGCTGCGTCGACCTGCTGGCCCCCGGGCCTGTCGTCTGTTCAATTTGCAACCAACAAATAAAAAAGGTTATTGTTGAAAGTATTCTATTCCCAGCAACTGGCCACCACGACGTGGATCTGCCTAAAAATAGCGAATCACAGACACTGCACAGTCCCGTCCCAGTGAATCGTCGTGCCTCACATGTTGTCGGTGTATGTGTCTGCGTCTGCGAGTGAAGTGGATATCTGTTTAAAAATAAAACAACGCCGATACGGAAGAACAGTGCCAAGTGACATCCATCAGCATCAACGATAACAAAGCCCGCAACTGCCTCCAGTGGACGCAATCGCCAGGTGAGGGAGGACAGATTTTGTTAATCAAATTCATAAGGATTGTTTCCAACTGTAAATACTCTCACGCGCTGCTCTCTTGATTTGACCACTCTCTTTTGCTCGCTCTCTCTCTCTCGCTCTTGCTCTCCCGTTCTTTTCCCGCCACGCTCAGTGTGACCAGACGGTCGATGGTTCCGAGCCTGTAAACTCATTTTGTTCGAGTGTAGTTGCAATTACTTGAAGTTTTGAATCAACCCCAAGACGGCGGTGGTGTGGTCCTAGGGGTGAGTGGGTGGGTGTACCTGCCTTATCTTACGCTCGGAATGACTGCTATTGTTAGAGTGAAGTGCACATTCACCCTTTCCCAGCCCCCAAAGACATGCTATTGAGGGCATGTCTTCCAGACCACTTGGCAGACTTCAGCCAGTACTGCCCGTAATTAGTGTAATTGCAGCATGGCTCGGCTCGGGTGGACTTCTGGCCGCACTGCATTGACAGCAATTGCAACACTACACGCCCCCACGGTACCCTCGCTGCACAAACGGAAAATGCTCTCCGTATCCCCGCAACCGCCTGCTGAAACACGAACACACCCACCCACGGCGCTGACGTTGCTATATTTCGTTGTTGCACCGACAGGACGCTGTTGCCATGCTGCTGCAGCTGGTGCGTACGCACAAGTATGTAGTTCAAGGTCATTTGCTGGCCTCCAAGCCCACGGTGAGGGTGCAAGATCTCGCTTATTAGCGGCAATCGCCTAGGGAAATATGAACCGTATTGCAAGTTGAAGGACCTTCGGATCATGCGAATGTTGGGCCATCAACTTGAGACGCTATTTCTGTCGTGGCACTAATTTGCCCCCCTCCTCCACTGCCTGTTTCGTGTGAGAATAACTGTAAACGTGGCACTAATGAGCGGCTGGCATGCAACGCACGAGCCAGGTGGCGCGGCGACCCCATTACATGGGCAACGTGTTAGTGAACTCTGGCCCCCGACCTGGCACTTGGCCAAGACTTGGTCCTACAGCTACAGCTGCAGCTGCAGCTCCAGCTCGCATCCCCTGTCATGGCAGTGCAACAGGAAGCAAAGTCATTGAACACTTAATGGAATGCAGTTGCAAAACAGAAATAGTCGCCAATATTCTGGGCCACTGGGCTGCCCTTCCTTCCCGCAGATGAAAGTGACCATAAATTTTCCACTTGCACTAATCTTCTGACATCTGCCCCGTGGCCAGTGGCCAAATAAAGGGGGCAACCTACTTGGCTCTGCTTATTGCCAGCTAATTGCATTTTGCAGCTGGGACATAGAAGATAGAGAGAAAGAGAGAGCTCCGATTAGACAGAGTGTCGTCAGTTAGTCGCCATCTTAATATCCATCGCCATAGCCATAGCCATAGCCGTTGCCTTTGCCTTTGCCTCACCATCCAAGTTCAATGGAGCGCAAATTGTTGTTATGGCAACGAAATTCTACTGGCAACATTCTCCAGTGTCTGGCGGCGTTCCTTGTGGCGGGCGAATGACGTAAAAGAAGTCGCTGGTGGGGGAGGCTAAGAGGGTGCCATTATCCTTGGGCCTGGAATCACCATACAGCCATCCCCCACCACCACCCCCTGTTGACATGTTTATGCGCCAATTTACAAACCGTTTCCTTCGTTCCGTTAAAGCCAGCTTCGAGTATTGATTTTTGTTAACTCGATTACAGTGACAGCGCCGTGCCGAAAGGATAGCCAGCGATAGTGGTAGTGCTCTGTCAGCGTTTGAGTAGCATGCTAGCTGCAGTTATGGCATCGGACATCAATTGGGATCCAGGTGAGTGGCGTGCCAAGGATTTCAGCTGGAGGGCCTGACGCAAACGTTCTCCTTTGTTCCAGCTTTGTCTAAATTGTTTACCACGCTCAAGGAGTCAGAGAATCTGTCCAATGACCAGGAGATTGACTTTCTAAAGGCCCTCCTCGAGTCCAAGGAGCTCAATGCTCTGGTCAATGTGCACACAAAGGTGGCCAAAGTGGGCCGGGACGATCGCCTCGCCCCAGTGCTCTCCACCTCTGCCCAGGTGCTGTACGAGGTGCTGGAGCAACTGTCGCAACGCTGCCATCTGAGCGATGACTGCAAGGAGGTCTTCCACCTGCTGCAGGATGCACATGTTCAGGTGAGTGTGTCTCCTCCCAAAAGGACTAAAGCATGGGAAATGCAATATGCTGACCTTTCCACTCGTTGCAGCATTTACTGTTCGCGCACGATGCCATTGCCCAGAAGGACTTCTATCCGCATCTGCCCGAGGCACCCTTTGAGATTGACGAGGACGAGGAGACCATTAAGATTGTGCAGTTGGTGAAGAGCAACGAGCCACTGGTGAGCGCCTCTGCCCACACATCTCTCTCTCTCTCGCTTTCTCTCATTCCGCCGCTCCATTCCACTGTTCATCTGTCCACCGGTGGTTCATCCATGTCCGGAATGGCCATCGCCACTCTCATTGTGATCGTGACAGTGGTCTGCTCTGTGTTTGTCTCTCATATCCATACCCATACCCGCCACACCCCCTGCCTGTGTCTGCTCCTCCTCTATGCGCCTCCATTCATGCGTTCGTCGTATCATTCGTCTCATCCGTCTCATCCGTCCCATCTACATATTTCAATTCTTCTCAAAGCTAATCAATTTTGTAAATTTTGCTTTCGACCAAAATCGAATACGATCGACTCGATATCTCATTAAAAAAAAAAACCAAAAACCAACTAAAAAACATTTGCTAACAAAAAATATAATAATAAAAAAAATAAACACAGACAGGAGCACAGAGTGCGGAGCCAATTGTTGTAAGTAAACGAATGTCCATAGCATAGCTGTAAAAAGTTCCACCATAAACTACAACAAAAGAATTCCCGTTCCAAGCACCACTACAAGATGGATACGATACGCGTATTCCGACATAGAAAACTATACAAAACAAAAAAACGCACACCACACCACACACATTCTCGAACACAATTTGTTGGTTGTGTGCCGCCGCCCCCATTTGGTTGTTGTTGTCGCACATCCATCAAAACACACACATACATATAAACACACACACACATCGGAAACCGCACTCTCTCACTCACACACACACACACACACAGACATAAGTCGACTTGGAATTGGCGGCATATTGAAATTATTTTGCCTACTTTTAGGGGGCCACCATAAAGACGGACGAGGAGACGGGCAAGATAATCATAGCTCGAATCATGCATGGCGGTGCCGCCGATCGCTCTGGCCTGATACACGTCGGCGACGAGGTCATCGAGGTCAACAGCATTAATGTGGAGGGCAAGACACCCGGCGATGTGCTCACCATACTGGTAAGTGCCCAGAGACACCATAAACACCATAGAATCCATCCATAACACATCCACTTTCTTTGGCAGCAAAACTCTGAGGGCACCATCACCTTTAAGCTGGTGCCTGCCGACGCCAAAGGCGCCCAGCGGGAGTCAAAGGTGCGGGTGAGGGCCCATTTCGACTACAATCCCGATGTGGATCCGTATATACCCTGCAAGGAGGCGGGCCTGGCCTTTCAGCGCGGCGATGTCCTTCACATTGTGGCCCAGGACGATGCCTACTGGTGGCAGGCACGCAGAGAGCACGAGCGCACAGCCCGCGCTGGTCTCATCCCGAGTCGGGCTCTGCAGGAGCGCCGCATCATCCACGAGCGCACACAGCGGGATGGCAACGACTTGGACTCGAAGCGTAAGCATCCCATATTCCAGCTGGTTCATGACCATGTCCCCATATCGCTGCATGCCCAAGCCCCGACTGAAATTGATCTACTTCCATGTCGCCCCTTAATCCGCTCATCCGCAATCTGACTAACAATTGGCCACCGCCACTGACACCGCCACCTCCATCAACCATCAATCAGCCGGTTCATGCGCCTCACTCTGCAACACCACCCCACCCGGCTCCCCGCGACTGCACACGAGCAGCAGCAGCTCCTCGTGCCGCCAGCCCAAGACTAAAAAGATCATGTACGACTTGACAGAGAACGATGACTTTGATCGCGAGCAGATCGCCACCTACGAGGAGGTGGCCAAGCTCTATCCCCGGCCAGGCATCTTCAGGCCATTGGTGCTCATAGGTGCCCCCGGCGTGGGTCGGAATGAGCTGCGCCGCCGCCTGATAGCCCGTGATCCCGAGAAGTTCCGTAGCCCAGTGCCATGTAAGTCGCCCCATTTGTGTCCACCCCATCCATCTTTACAGAGGCATTTACAGAGAGTTTCTTCTTACAGACACCACCCGACCCATGCGCACCGGCGAGGTGGCTGGACGCGAGTACATATTTGTGCCGCGCGAAAAAATGGACGCCGATATCGAGGCCGGAAAGTTTGTGGAGCATGGCGAGTACAAGGGACATCTGTACGGCACCTCGGCGGAGAGCGTCAAGTCGATAGTGAATGCTGGCTGCGTCTGTGTGCTGAGTCCCCACTACCAGGCCATCAAGACGCTGCGCACGGCCCAGCTGAAACCGTTCCTCATACATATTAAGCCACCAGAGTTGGATGAGCTCAAATCATCGCGCACCGAGGCGCGGGCCAAGTCAACGTTCGATGAGGCGAACGCCAGGAGCTTCACCGACGAGGAATTCGACGATATGATTAAGTCGGCCGAGCGCATTGACTTTCTGTACGGCCACTTCTTCGATGTGGAGATCGTCAACGGCGAACTGATCACCGCCTTCGAACAGCTGGTCCAGAACGTGCAGCGGCTGGAGAATGAGCCGCTCTGGGCACCCTCGATCTGGGTGCAGTAGAAAGCCAAGCCAAGTAAACCAAACCAAACCGTAGATGCCCATCTATAGGTGCATTTCATGCAATTTGTTAAACCAAACACCAAACACCAAAGTATTTTTGCCATACGAATTTAGCGAACAGCTAACAAACATGTAGTTGAATAGTAGTTGAGGAGCGAATAGGAAGGAACGTTAGAGAGCCACCACTGCTCTATGAACCCGTAGGCGCGGTCCTGATGCTGCTGCTGCTGGGCTGGGGACACTACTCCCGTCCAGCTTTAGTCCTTTCACGACAAGTACCTTTTTTTGCGTAACAGTGAAAACAATGAAAAGAAAACAATAAAAAAACAAAAATTGAAAGAACTTAGAAACCAGCAACTACAATTTAGAACGGAATTACACTTGCAATTACAATTACAAATTATAAATTATAAATTACAAATTAAATTATGTGAAATTGTTGTATGTACAAAAATTATTTGTGTTCACATGGATTAAAATTATAAAATATATAATGTATTTATTAAACATGTTGTTAAAATCAAAAGAGTTAATCCTTCCCTAGCCCTACCTTTACCCCACCCCACCCCCGTTTAACTATAACTGTAACATTGACGCTAACTGTATTATATCTCAATTGTATATACAGGAGATCTACGTTCCACAAATAATATGTGAAATTTCTCTAATTTCCCAACTAATTTCATTTAACGAAAGGGTTTTTTGTGCGGCGATTCATTGTTAAAAACAAGTGAGAAATTAATAAAAAAAAACAAAACCCAATTTTAAAAGGAAATTTTTGAGGATTCCAAAGGGCGAGGAAATGTTTAAATTTTTCGATCACAAATAAAAGAAGACATAAACACAGCTTTATTGGGCAGCACATTTGTAGGTATACATATCGACACGACACTCACATATTAATATATATATATATATATAGCAGTATATAATCCTTCATCTAAGCATAGCCTATGTGGTACATTGTATATCTTATCCATATGAAAGTCTATCCAGGATGCGTCATCAGTTTTCTTGATTGATTGCTAATTGCAGATTGCAGATAAATTGCTATTGTAATACGAAGACAAAGACTAACGCCCATCCATATCCATTGCACTGGAATCATTGTCAGGTATCGCAGTCGCCCCATCAGTTCGCCCCTTTCTCTCTCTCTCTCACTATAGCTAAAGCTGCGACTTTGTAGCGTTTCGGGAAGCGGTCTGCCCGTAGAAATCTGCCAGGCGTTTGGCCTCACGCCAGCCAGCTTCGACAGCGCCATGAACCGTGGAGTAGTAGTGCTCACTGGACGCCTCGCCGGCAAACTGAACAATGGGCTTGTCGCAGCGGCTCTGCTGCAGCTCCTCCCTCGGCTCGCGCTCCCGCTCCGGCGTGGTGGACACCACGGTGAGTGGATGGGCGAGCTCGCGGGCTCCTGTGCCCAAGTTCTCCGTTTCCATTGAACGGTAGGAGTATGAGCCGCGGAAGTTCTCGTTTGTGTGCCAGGCAGAGGCGCGGAAGCTGCTTGGCTCGGGGATGTTCCAGTGCAGGAAGCGGCGGAAGAGGTACATGCAGCCAGCCAGAATCTCATCCTCAGGCAGGGTCTCCATGTGCCGGCCATTCACATTGGTTATCCAACCGGCCAGGATACGGGGTTGGTAGCTCACGCGATAGAAACCGAAGACGTCCTCCAGCCATGCCCGCGACGTCCCCCGTATGTCCTCCAGATCCTCACTCCGCCAGAGCAGCGTGAAGCCCGTCCAGTCGTCAGGCCAGAAGGCCACCGGGAACTCCACAAAGATCTTGTTGACGGTGCCAAAGGCCAGTCCGTCGATGGCCCGCTGCTTTTCCACTGGGAGCTTGGGCTCGAACAGACGCCAGTGTTGCTCCTTGAGCACGCCCAGGGAGACGGTGACCACCACATGATCGGCGATGCAGTTCTCGCCGTTGCTCAGCTGCAACTCCACGCGTCCATCGTTGCGGTTCCAGTTGAGCTTCAGTGCGCGGGTGCCGAGGAGCAGGCGCTGTTCCAGGACCCCCAACTCCGACTTGAGTTCGCGGGCGCGCATCAGCAGCTTCAGCAGCTCCACATAGCCCTTGTCCTTCCAGTTGAGCAGAATGTCGCCATCGCACTCCCAGTAGTCCAGGTAACCACGGCCCGACACCTGGTCCAGCGTGTCGGAGGCCTCCACCGAGTTCTCGAACTTCTGATAGTTGTCAAAGAACTCTCTGGCCACCACCGCATCGATGTCGGCGTTCTCCGGGCGGCGCAGGGTGTCATAGAACTTGTTGGTCAGGTAGCTGCCAAGGGATCCGCTGCAGTGGCGCAGCTCCAGTTGCCGCGACACCAGTGAATCCCCGACGATCGCCTTCAGGCGGCTGGCCACGTTGTCGGGCACCACTTCCCGGTTGGAGCGCACACACTGATAGTTCTCGTAGACGGGACCGGTGGACTCCAGCAGCTCCTCCTCCTGCCGCCTGGTCAGCTCGTACACAATATTATCGCGCTCGCCGTGACACCACTGGGCGCCCAGATCGATCACATTGTCCCCAAAGGGTATGGTGTGTATGCGTCCGCCCACCCGCTCCTCGGCCTCCACCACGAGCACGTTCTGAAAGCCGTACTCCAGCAGCTTGGTGGCACACGCAATCCCCGAGGCTCCGGCTCCAATGACAACGATCTTGCGCTCGAGATTCCGCTGCGCCTCGCTCATTCTGTGTAACTAAATCTGGGAATGGAATGGAATGAATGCACAAAAGCAAATCAAGGGGGAGGTAAGTAAGAATACTCGTGCCAATTGCTGGAAAATGTGCAAATGCACACCCCATGCATATCTGAGTGTGGGAGGGACGGTACGGTGTCAGTTGTGGAGGCAACCAGGAAACAGAGACCACCGTTAGTTCATTTTCCTACGAAATTGTTTACATTTAAATAGCAGGCTGTGTTGTAGTGCAATTGAAGGCACTTGAGCTTTATCAATTCCATGCGGCTGCACAGGGGCCGACACCTATAATACCCTAACAGACGCCTTCTAGAAATATTTACATTCTGCTGTTCACCATACCCTTTCATAGGGTATACATTTTGCACACAACAAACACTTTGATTAGAAAGAAATTGAAGCGCGCGCGCGGCAAACGTAACGGCATTTCAGACTCTGATAAGAGTCTCAAAAAAGCTCCCCTCAGCAATACTTTCAGCCACAAGTAGCGAGGGGGATGTATGTATGTATGTATGTATGTACGTATGTTTGGCCTTTGGCTGCATGAATTTATTAATAGTCGCCACATAGAGAGTGTTGCGAAAAGTGGGCAGGGGCAGGGGCCGTAACATAGCCATAGGAGCCTGCCTAGAGGAACCAGTGGCCGCACCAACCGGACCAGCGGCTTTTACTGCGGCAACATACCTTTGGATCTCCTCGAAAATGAATGCTCAGGGCGCTCCGCCACTCACTTCCTGGTCGCGAAAAGAAAGTGTGTGTGTGTGAGAGAGAGAGCGAAGCATTGATTTTATATTTGGCCACAAATGTTCAAGGTTTTTGTTTCGGCCCGGCAGGCGGCAACAAACCAAAATACAGCCACCCATTGACACCCCACAAACATGTGTGCGGAAATATATTTAACCAAAACAAATTCGTGTGTCTATCCAACTCAATCCACCCAACTCCACTCCAATCGAGCACTCACCGAAAACTCGTGACTTTGTATTTCAAAATCCCCGAATATATTCACAATCAAACATTTTGACTGCAACTCTCGAGGATTATGTGGCTCCAGTCCTATGTTGAGAAGTGGAAATCAAAGGAAAATTCTGACTGAAGCGGCTGCTGCGGCGGCGGACACACAAACAAAACTGAAATGCCGAGGAGCAAATAGCATATGGAAACGTGCTTCTTTGGCCATGCTTATGCTGTGCTGCGCAGTGGCGCTGTGGGGTTCTCCGTGGGGGCGCTGTCGCCTAGCAGTCCCCGTCAGATTGTTGACAACGTCTCTGCGCTACGCTCTGCGCAGACTTTAAGCTTACGAATAGCTTTGAGTGAAAGCTGTGCCGCTACAGCTGACTGACTGCCTGAGGGAATGATGGAGGGAGAAAGGTGCAGGGCGAGTGAATGTTGAGTTCTTTTAGGTTGGGTGGGAGATTGAGAAAGAAGGAACGTAAGTGAATGGGTGGATGGGACCCTTTGAGCCGCTATGGATGCAATTGGCGCCATTAGAAAGTGTTTTGGGTTTTGGTTTGGAATGATTCAATATAGTATATATATATATATTTACTCAACTGCATACAAGTTTTTGCTATATTAGTGGAATTGGCTAAAACTCTTCATTAAATAACTCGCTTGATATATGTTTGTTTGTGTAGGTGTGTGTATACGATATATTCTTCGATGTATGTACATGTTCCTTTGGCCAAATTGGGGAAATTACAGACAGGAAAATCTTGATTAATTCGTATACATATATATATATTTCTTTTTTATTACATGATCATCGGTTCGGTCTTTGTCTTTAACTTTGGAAATGCATATGTATTCAGAAATCAGTATAGATATAGATGTATGTATGCATGTGTGTGTAGAGGCATGTACACTTTGATTTAAAAGTTATGGTACGTGTATATACAGCAAGGGAGTTAGTTTACTTGGATTCTGCTGATAGTTCATTTGAATATAAAATATAGCATTTACTTGCGAATATCCAAACAAAGTGGAATCCAAAGCATTAACTAATAAAACTAATTTACACTAAATACCATTAAAAATAAGTGACTTGGAAACAATCGAAACAAAACGCAATTACAAAATAATAAATAGAATTATCACAAACAATAACAGCCCCGTTAGGATGAGAATGGCAGCCCACTGACGTTTATCTGCAACAGAGAATTACATATGTATATTATTAAATCTTTTTGAATATCATCATTGCACTCACCATTATTCATGTGCAACACTTTGGCAACCTTCTTCATGGTCGTGTCCAGCTTGGACTCTGTTGTGTCGAACTCGTTACCAAAATCATCCAACATCACAGCCTGCTCATCCAACTCGACGCCGATCTGCCGCGATACAGTCTTCAGGGTGCCAATGGAATCACTGATCATGTCGAGCTGCTCATCCTGGCCCTGGATCATGCGCTGCTGTATGGACACTGTCTCGCCCACATACTTGTGGCCGGGACTGTCCAGGCTGCTGGCTTGATGCTGCTGCCCATAATGACTGGGACTGTCCAGGGCATTCTCCAGCTTCGAGTACTTGGTACCGCTGTGGCGGGAAGCAGCTGCTGCCGCTGCTGACATGGTGCCGGCAATGGTATTGGCCACCGCCTGACTGCCGCTGTTGATCAGTGAGTTGCCGTTCAGGGCGCTGGGGCACTCCACCAGGTAAGTGCGATCGTTGTGCGGATGGAGATGGTACTCGTTTGAGTTGGTGTTGGTATTGGAGATGGTGTGATGATTTGGTTGATTCTGATTGGGATTGTTGCGATCGTTGTCGAGGAGCGGCTGATGTGCGGTTATGTCTCTGTCCCTGTTCCGGTTCAGGCTCATCTTATCCTTCATCTGCTTGACCTCATCGCGGGTGTTGTCGATGAAGTGGCGCCGGCTGGAGAGTTCGCGGTTGTCGATCCGAAACTTGGTCGGATTCTTCTCGACAATGCGTGCTAGTCGGTTTCCCAGGGTTAAGAAAAACCTCATAAAAAATGCAAAATTGTGTGAGCTAAGAGGGAAAGGTTAGGCAAAGCGAATTGATTTTTCGCAAATGTGACGTGACGTCGTTTTTGTCATCGTCGTCATTCTACAACACATTTTTAATGCAGTTTAGGAAAAGGATATTGATAGTGTCTTCGAGGTCCTCGAGATCCCATTCGATGCTCCGCAGCGAGTTACGCAGCTCGGTGGTGGTCCATTCAACCTCCGCTCCGCCGTCCTCCCCCAGCTCGCGCCAACGCAGGTAAAGGCCTCGTGTTTTGTTCAGAGCTTTGAATACCTCGCTGCATAGAGAGAAAGAGAGAAAAGCGAGAGTAAGAAGGAGATGTGGTAAGATGGGGGGGTAAGCTGGAGCGTAATGACGATGAAATTGCATTGCAATAAACCAAGCGGCGGCACCTACTCCTTGACTACGAAAAACGGATCCTCCAGAGACATTTTCACGTTCCTTGGCTAAATGGAAATTTACGGTTGCGGCAAGGGTAACAACGGTTATTTTTCACGTACGAGTACGAGTGTAACGGCTAGCGCACTCGACTTTTATATTCATGGATTTTTCTTCCTCTTTTGCGCTGCTCCACGGACGCGCACAAACACTGAGACACACGGGGAAAACCACCCCCGAAATTGGGGAAACTGCAAGTTGGAAAATGTACGAACATTCGTTTCTGCGGGGACGAGCTTGGACGAGACCGTTACATCAAAAAAAAAACATGGAAGCTACTATTTTTTTTAGCAGTTATTTCACAATCAACTGCGATCTAATCAAGCCATATACTCGTATTGCGGGAAGTGATGTTTGAATTGCACGTTTATTGATTATTGCCCTTTGACGAGCTGCTTATCTGCCCCGCGTCAGAGTTTCGTTACGGTTTCGGCCAGGCAATTGCGATGGCCCAGAGTACACTGGCGCTATTTCGCGCTCTGCTCCGGAACGACGGCAGCTGCTGCAGGTCGGCGAGAGTGAAGGCGAAGGTGAAGGCATTTGTTTATGCCACTCCAGCGGCTGCGCACTGGACGCCACCCCCAAGACGCCAACAAACCGAATCAAACTATAGTTTTCCAGCAGAAAGTGCCCCTTTTTGACAACAACTGGCCAGCACTTTTATTGCAACAACAAGAAACAGCTAAAGTGCCACCTCTGACCACAATGACACTGACCAAAACAAAAGTTCAGCTCACTCAACTCACCTTCTGCACGTTTCGACGTCATTGAGCAAAGCGCTTGTAGCAAACACTGTGACAAAATTCTATAGCAAATTGCACTAAAAATTAATAGATTAATATTTTTTTATTTTGCAACCAGGTGTTCTGCCCGATTGTTGATGCACTATGTATATCGATGTAGACGATATTTTTATACAATAGTATTGGTTCGATATACCGATATATAAAAAAATTGAAAAATATGGTCACACACTACGGCAGGCTATCGTTTTGGCCGTTGAGGCTGATTTCGTGTTCCGAATTAATTTGAAAACTTCACTTAAAATGCTCCAAAATGATGCGGTGCGAACACTGCAATACGATAGCGAAATACGCGTGGCACAGCAGCCAAGTCCCACAGAACCCAGAGGTAAGTGAATGAGACAATTTAACCAAGAAATATCAACCAAAACATGAATCACCGTGGGTGGACATTGGTAAATTTTTATTAACTGATAAGTGGTTTTGCGCCTGTGTTCGCCAGCCGCTGCATTCGGATTAATTGTTGTTGGGCTTACACGGCCCCTGTGTGCGGGAGTGTGCTGTGTTGTGTTAGTGCTCCAGTCCAAGAAATATGCGACATAAAATTAGCTATATCTTATCAGCAGAAGTTTTGTTATGGTATCATTATGGCCAACGGCGTACCTGTGTTACCTGTTCGCAGCAGTCGCCCCAGTGCCTTTGTTTCCAATCAAACTGAGATATTGACCAAGTATCGGCAAATAAGCGTACACCTATTCAAAGATATATATTAATTAATACAGCCTTGGTTTACTTGCAGTTTATGATTCCCATATTAGCATAACGTCACAGCCACGACCGGGGTCGGAGGCTCCCAGGATACCACTGCCCACAGTGACTGGCAGTCGAACGTTTATGCCCCTCTCCGGCTACGATTGCCTGGCGGACTTGCCCTCGGTCCACATTGAACAGACGTTCGAGTTGAATGAGTGTATGTGTAATGTCCATTTGTATATTCCAAATCAGAGATCCTCCAAAGCCATTTTCTTTCCCTGATAGCCCTGACAGCCGTCTCATCGGAGAACCGCTATGTGGTCCGATCGCCCCTGGGCGATGCCGTCTTTGCCGCCAGCGAGAGCTCCACGGAGAATAATCGACTCATTTGGGGCGCCGGGCGACCCTTCCAGATGCACTTGCTGGACAAGACACACCAGGAGGCTCTGGTATTCCGCAAGAAATTCGCCCTCGGTTCGATGTGCTGCCAGGCAAAGAGTCTGGAGATCTGGATACCGCCGGGCAATGTCATGGGCCGGGTGGTGCAGTCGCCCACGTTTATGCAGCCCGAGTTCTTCATCGAGGATGGAAATACGGGCCAGCCCGTCTTCTGTGTAGAGGGTCCAGCGAATTCCGGTTTCTGCTGCTTCTGTCTGCCCAAAGAGTGCTACTTTAAGGTAGAACACTCGCTACCCTCTCTGCCCGATTATCTAATTAACGTTGATCCACATGCAGGTACATTCGGGAGGTAACCTAAGGGCCTCCATCGATCACAAGTGGATGTCCAGCAAGTCCCAGTACACCACAAATATCTACTTTAGCGATGCCAAACTGACGGCCAAGGAGCGTGCCCTGATTTTAGGCTCAGCATTTCTGCTGGTAAGATGTATCCTAAATCTTGCAAAGCATCTTCCAATTCTCATCTGTTTTCCCCTTTCCAGGAATACATGTACTTCCAAACGCGCTTCTAAATGACGCGCAATCCAATGACAAAATACTTTTATCTTTCACATTGATTTCTTTATTTTTGTATTTTTTTTTTTGTATAAGTTTTCAAGTTTGTTGGTTTTGTTGTTTTTTTTTCGTTCAGTTTTTTTTTGATATATTTTACAATAATGTAATAGATCACTTCATTTTCTTGTTTTTTTATAACCACATGCATACACATTCAAATATACATATCCATATGTATATAGATATATCTATGCATGTATATTTATATATATACGTTGCTATAGCTCTTGCGCTGGTTAGCAGTTTTTTTGTACAATAATTTTCATTTATCTCTATCAATTTTTGTGTAGTTTGTGTTGAGTGTTGACTAACCTACAGCTTATAGCATATATGACAACATAATGATTATTTACAATTAGATTTATATTCATCTTATTCTTCATCCTCCATTCTCTCTCTCTCTCGGCCCCTTCTTTTACCCTTCGGCACACCAATAAAAGTAATTAATAAACAAACAATTAAAAGAGTCTCGTGGTCTCGTTGTTTTACAAAATTAGAAACAAAACTAAGGATATCACCTATTCTAAATTTCTCTTTTCAATTATCTCGTTGGTGTATGCTTAACAATTTGAAATAAGGAAGAGCTGCGTGATCTGCAGAGGATTTCGATTTGGGTATTTGGAAAACATGGTTCATTAGGGGAGGGGTTGGGTTGGGTTGTGTTGGATGGGGCTGGCTAGGCCTTATAAATTAAATACTCATCTCTCGTTCACTTCGGCTTCTTCTTGTTACCTTTCTGTAGATGGACGACTCACAGCACTTCAGGGAGTTTCATGCAATGCATTCATGCATTTTCGAAAAATAATCCATGAATCTATGGATATAATAATCTACCTACCGCATAGTATCTGCCTACCTACAGTACTCGAAGATTGTGGCTTATAACTAGAGCTAGCGTACATGGTACCTGGGTGTATACATAGTATTCATATACATATATACTTTATGGGTACTATACATATAATCATATATATATTTTTTAGATCAGAGCTGATGACGATTCCTTAAACTAGATACCTAAGAGGCAAATCGATCTGTTTCGGGGCTGCCCAGAGTATATCTCATACAGATATAAGAACTCCCACAAAATGACCGAGTTTATTACACTGGAATTGCTAATCGATCGATTGCAGGATTACCAAAATTCATTTTGGGTTCATCTGCGAGTGTGGTGGGGTGTTGGGGTGGCGGGGGGTTGTTGGTCTCTTAGAAGCTAGTGCTAACGTAAGTGTTGTGTGCCCAAATGCGATATGCTTAGACATTTGATATGCGCTCGTTGGCGGTTTGGTCATGGCTGCCTCCAACTCCAACGGCAACTCCAACTCCATTGTCGCATCCGGAATTGCAGGGGAACTGTGAACGGATGTCGGTGCTGGCGATGGTGGGCATGTGGTATCCCTGGTAGTGTCGATACTGTTCAGAGGACAACAGTTTGGGCGCCGCTGCAGTATTGGGCCACACTCAGGTGGGCTGCAGCATGTACATGTACTGTCAGTTGCTGGCCGCTGCCGAGGCGACCACGGGAACGGCAACCGGAACGGTAACGGGCAGAGGCAGAGCAGCATCCTGGGATGGTCGGGCACGCTTCTCGTTTGTGGCTGTGGTGGTGCCACCCTCCGGTGGATTGTCGCTCTCCTCGCCGCCCGTGCTGCTAAAGCTGCCGGGCAGACGACGCTTCAGGTTGTGGGTGAGCCCATTGGCCACGGTCTCATCTTCGGACATGGAGCTGGCACGCTTGGGCGTGTTGCCATCACTGTCATTGTCCAGCCTGGCAATGGCCGAGGCGATGGCCGCACTAAACCCATCCTCAGAGGCGCTATCCTGCGAGGTGGGCGTATCCTGGGCCAGCTGCATCATGCCCGAGGGCGTGGTGTAGCCGCTCAGCTTATTGGGATCCTTTTCCAGCAGCTTCTGGGCGAGCAGCTTCAGGGAGATGAGCGAGTTGTCGCAGTCGCTGGTGTCGATCTCAGTTAGGCTGATGCCGGCGCGCTCGATCTCCGCGTAGGTGCCGAACGGCAGCTTCTGCAGGCACTCCAGCTTCTGGACGTGTGTCTTGGAGCGCAGATGCTTGGCCAGATGGCCGTGTATGCGGAAGGCGATCTTGCAGTCGGTGCACTCGAATGGCCGCGGATTGGAGGTGGTCGGCACCCCAAACGTCGACGTCATCATCACCTTATTCTTGTGCGCCTCGGAGCGTTCGTGCTTCTGCAGGTGGCCCTGGGTGCGGAAGGATATGCCGCAGGGCTCGCACTTGAATTTCCGCTCCATGTAGTGGATGTTCATATGCAGCGTCAGCTGGTGCTGGCGCTGGAACGTCTTCGAGCAGATCAGGCACGTGGGCCGCGCATCGCTGGCAGTGGGGGGCGGCGGAGGCACGCCCCTTGGATATGTGGACACAGCTCCAGACTGTAGTTCGTTGTTGTTGTTGTTGTTGCTGCTATTATTGTTGTTGTTGTTGTTCTTGCTGCTTGCCGAGGCACTTTTAAGCCATCTTCGCCCACGATCACAGTGCGGGTGGGCGGTTGCGGCTGCTGCTGCGGCTGCTGCTGCAAGGATGCTGTGGATGAAACTGAAGGAGTTGCAGATGGAGTTGCAGCTGGTGCGGTTGTGGCAGTGGGGGATACTGCCACTGCTGCCACTGGTGGTGTCGCTGCTTTTGGGGACGTACCCAGGACACCGCTGAAGTCTGTGGCATCCGGCTGCTGCACTGCAGCAGGGAGATTCGCATTGTGCGCCGGCTCGCTGGCCCTCTCCTGATCCGACAGCGCCTCACTCTCCTCGCTCTCATCGTTGGCCGTTGCCTTCGAGGGGAGGATGCTGTTCGCAGCCTGGGCAGCCGTGACGGCTATCGTGGATGTCGATGGAAGCGAAACCTCGACCGCCTCCGGGGTCTTCACCTCATGCACCTCGATGCTGGGCACCTCATTGATGCTCATGATGGGCCTGCTGCTCACGGAGAGGAGGCTGCTGCTGCCGCTGCTGCTAGTGCTAGTGCTAGTGGTCATGACGGAGGAGGTGGTGGCGGTGTTGCTGGTGCTGGAGAAGAGCGTGCTGATCAGGTAGCTGCGACTGAATTGGCTCTGCTTCATCTTGGCATGCTGCAGGGCATGCTCCTTGCGGTACGTCTGCATCAGCACATCCTCGCCCTCCGCCGCCTCGTGCATGTCCTGCTCCTCCTCCTCCTTCAGCTCGGTGGAGATGCGCACCTTGTCCGACACCGAGATGAGGGTCTTCATGAAGCCACTGCCACTGCTGCCGGCGCTGCCGAAGATCACATCGTGCATCTGCTGTGCCTGCGATTTGGGCAGGTCCTGTACTAGTGCCACCGGGCAGGGGGAGACGGAGCCGGCAGCTGCCATGGATGTGCTGGGGCATCGTGGCTTGGTGAGATCCATGGGCGCACTCTCCTCGCTGGCCACGCTCCGCTTGGGCTTGGACTCCTCGGGATTCGAGTAATACTGTTCCTGCTTCTGGTAGTCGAACGGCGGCTTTGGCGATGTAAAGGAGCACACCACGCCACGTGGCTTGGGCTGCGACGATCCCGACGAGCCAATGCTGTTGGCCGGACTGCCAGCCGGAGCCGGTGTCTCCTGAAGCTGCGGATATGGCGAAACGCTCTGCGGTATGGGCGGTGTCATCGACAGCGACAGCAGGCAGCGAGCGGCCTCGTGTTCCTTCAGTCGCGACTTGGATTCATCGGTGTCTGCCCAAGGGATAAAAGGACCATCAATTAGAGGGATGCTCAACACAAAGGAAATGATTCTATGGTCTTGTCCACTTACCACTGCTCTCGGATTCATTGTCACTGAAATCATCCGAATCTGATTCACCATCGGCCATCGAGGAGGTGCGTCCGCCCGCAGAGGTAGACGACTGCTGATCAAAGTCCATGTCCACGTCGAGGAACTCGCCATCGGCGGGCATGGGACCGGGATTGATGCCCAGCTCTATGCATTTCTTGAAGTGCGTCTTCGATTGCATGTGCTTGGTGAGATTCCCCTTGGTCTTGAAGCTGCATTGGGGTGTCACAATTAAATGCTGTCGCAGCTGCAGACAAAGAGAAACACTCACCTGAAGTTACAGTGGCTGCAGGTGAACGGACGCACGTCCGTGTGGGTGCGTATGTGCTTCTTCAGCATCGATGGCTTCTTGCAGCGGATGCCGCACTCGGAGCACACATATCGGCCGCGACCCCGTCCCCGGATGTAGGTGTAGTCCTCGTGCGACTCATAGCCGCCCACCAGGGGCTGTCCCGAGGGGCTCACCTCCATCTTCTTGTCCTCGGCCGCCTCCTCGCAGGCCTTGGCCGCCACATTGGCCTCGCTGAGTGCTCCCACGGCCACCACCGGCAGTGGAGCGAGCGGATTCTGATGCAGTGCACTGCTTGACATTGTGGAAACCGAGCAGATGGTCTGCTGCGCGTTGACCACTTTGTAGTTGAGCAGCTTCCCTGTGCCTGTGCCTGTCCCTGTGCTCGCCATCGAGGTGCAGCTCCCATTGCCGAACATCTTCTGGCGTGAGTCGTACAGAGCCATCACCTGCTTCAGCTTGAATCCGAGCGGATGCGGCTGGTTCTCCTCGCACACCTGCCACACGCTGTACATCGACAGCTTGTGCATGCCCGCCACATACGACGGCTGCGGGCAGTTCACGGTGCAGTAGAACATCTTCGTGCTGCACTTCAGCCCCAAATAGGTGTAGGCGTGGCCGTTGAGATACAGCTGGACACACGACTTGGACGGCCGTGGCGTTTCCGGCGAGATCAGCGGCAGGGTGTTGGCTGTCGGTGTGATTCCATGATGGCGCTTCGGCGTGAAGGTGCCCGGCTTCAGGGGCAGACTCGTGGGGCGCAGAAACTTTGATTTGGCGGCGGTTAGCGCCTCCTCTCCAGCAACAGCCGCAGTCACTGCGGCGTCAGCAGCTCCTGCTGCACTCCCATTGGGCGTATCCACGTGCAGGGGCGCCAAGGGTGCCGCCTCCTGTGTCGGCTGCTTGACAGCGATCACATTGTCCAGGTTGAAGTGCCGCACCTCCGGTTCCGATGCCTTCACATTGTCCGCCATTCGCAGAAAGTTAAAGGGCGCCTTCTTCGGTGTCTCCTTGCTGTTGTTGTTCCACTGCAGGGCTTTCCTCTGGGCAGGCGTCGGCGGCTGGCGGCTGAACTCACTCGGGAGATTCTGGACGCCACCGAAGGGCGACAGCGACTTGAGTGACTCTCCGGCGCCTGCTGCTGCTACTGCTCCGCCCAACAGCAGCAGCGGACTCGGCTGCTTGCGATTGGGACTGCGGCCGCGACTGGCGGGTACCAGTGGCAATTGCAGCTGCTGCGGTGGCGGCGGCAGCAGGGACATCTGTGGCGTCAGGCTGCCGGGACCCGGAATTCCCGGCACATACGGAATGGGCGTGACGGGTGCCGTTTTATCCCCACCACCGCCGCCACTCATCGGCAGAGTGAGTGGATTGAAGGCAGTTATCGAGTTGATGGGCGGAAATTGGAAATGCTGTGCCCCTTGGGCACTGCTGACACCGAGCAACGGGTGGCCACCAAGGCCAGCAGCCAGCAGCTTTCGCTCATTACTGGCCGACGACTCGTGGTTTTTGGGCAGCACGTCCTGGAAGCTGCCACCCGAGAGCAGCGGTGTGCGTATCATCCTGGGGCTGTTCTCCAGTTCGGGGCACTCCGAAATGGGTATCATGCTCCCGCCAGAGGAGGTAAGCCTGCGCAGGCGCTCCTCCTTGCTGCTGGACTGCTGCTGCAGCTCCTGGACCAAGCCCATGTTGTGGTTGTGGTTGTGATTGCCAAAGAATTTGAACGTTGGCGTGTCGGTGGTCTTCGCACGCTTCGCTGGCGGTGCAGGCTGTGCAGCGTCCATGCCAATGCCCATTGAAAACTGCCGATCCTCGTGCATTTTGGTGATCACCACCGAATCGTGTGCCTTGCGGGGTGCATTCTGCTGGGCAAAATCCACCAGTGCTGTCTTGCCAAGCAAAGGACCAGGCGATGGCAGTGGCGCGTCCACAAAACGCATCGCTTCTACGGGAACAGAAATGGATTGGGCCTGAATGGGCACGGGGGCCTGCACCTGCACCTGAACCTGAACCTGGACAGGAGCAGCTGGCGTTGGAGCCGTCACCGTCGATGTCCTTGCGGGTGATTGTGCGGCACTGAGGCGACTCAGCACCAGACTGCTGCGCTTCGTCTTCAGCTGCGACCAGGCGAGCTTGGCCAGCGACAGCGGATTCTTCGAGTTGGCCATGTGGCACTTGAGCTCTGGGAGGCTCATCGAGATCGAATTGGAACGAAAGTACTTGGAGCTGGGGGACGAGGCCGGACTCATCGGTGCACTGGAGCTGGCGTCCTGGCAGTAGGTGCTGTTGTGCAGCTTCAGTTCGTCCGCGCTGCGGAATTCGCTGGCACAGATGGGACATGAGTAGAAGGCATCGTCGCCCTCGCCAATGGGCACGGCCAATCCTCGTGCATTCAGCAGCAGATTCTTGATGATTGAATTATTTGGCGTTTGGGGTGCAGCGGCTGAGGCAGTCTTTGTAGAACTCCCTCCTCCTCCTCCTACTCCTCCAGCTGCTGCTGCTGCACTCGTCGAGGGAGTGTTGCCCATTGATGTGGGCGCAGAGGCGGACGTAGGCGTGAGCATGGCAGTGGCCTGGGGTGTCGGCTGTTGTTGCTTTGGCTTGGCAGAAAGATTCAATGGCATGGCATTGACAGCGGCCGCTGGCTGCTCCATTTTGGGCACTGGCGTGGCCGGGTCCTGGCGATACTGCAGCGTCTGCATGGGCAGCGGTGAGGGTGGCGGTGGCAATTGTTGTTGCTGCAGTTGTTGTTGTTGTTGGTGCTGCTTGGCGGCTGTAGGCATGGCGGCAGTTGGCATGGCCGGTGTTGGCTTGTAGCTATAGTTTTTCCGCTTCACCACACCATTTGGTGGTTCGAGTGGTTGTTGTTGCTGCTGTTGCTGCTGCTGCACTTGTTGTTGCATATACATTTGATAGTGTTGCTGCTGCTGTTGCTGTATCTGCTGCTGCTGCTGCTGCTGTTGTTGTTGCTGTATCTGCTGCTGCTGCTGCTGCTGTTTCTGTACAATTGCCTGGGCCAGATTCACTTTCGTCTCTCGTTCGCTGGCACCGATGCCCAACATCTGTGGACTATTACTGTTGATAGCCGCATTGCTGGCATTCGCATTGGCATTGTTGAAGCTGCGCGAACGATTCAGCTGCTTTGGGTACTTCTTCTGCAGCAGAATCTCCTTGTTCTCCACAATCGCCTCGTTCTGCGAAATCAGCTTCGATATGTGCTCCTGCACCTTTTCCACATTCTGCAAAACGAAATTTCCCCACTGAATTAGTCGACCATTTCGTGTGCAGCTTCCATTCAAAGTACTTACCACTTGCATGCCGCCACTGGCACTGGCAAAGCTGCTCAGATTGGTGGCTGGCGTGGGGGTTTGGGGTGCTCCTGCTGCTGCTGCTACTGGCACCACAATCGCTGCCTGGCTATTGGCTCGCACCAACTGAAACGAGAGAAACCCCAGGCAGAGTTTGGATTAAAGATTCGCATGGGGATGGATGCTTTCGCATTACTCACCTGTTGGGGAGGAATATTCGGTGGATGCGGCTGCTGTTGCATCGGTGGCGGAGGAGCCTTTACCAGTGGAGAGTGTTGCTGCTGCTGTTGCTGTTGCTGCTGCTGTTGCTGCTGCTGCTGCTGCTGGTGCAGATGAATCTGTTGCATTTGCAATTGTTGAAAGACCATGGCCTGCTGATGCATGGCCGCCGCCGCTGCCGCCGCATCCTGATTGTAATACGATGGCTGCCCCAGATAGTAGACACCTGCTCCCGGTGGCAAAGCCCCAGGATTGGCAGCCAGCAGCAGGGACTGCTGGGCGTGTAGCTGCTGCTGCAACTGCAGCTGCATCTTGTGCGAAGTGATGTGATTGTTCAGCTTCATCTGCGTGCTGGGCGACAGGGTGGGATGGGTCAGCGCTGGCTGCTGCTGCTGCTGCACCAGAGGCAGCTGAATGGAAAGCTTCTGCTGCTGCTGTTGCTGCTGCTGCTGGACGAGATGATGCTGCTGCTGTTGCTGTTGTTGTTGCAACTGCAGCTCATTGCTGCCGCCAGGCGGCACATAGAGAGCTGCATTATGGAACTTGGGCTTGTATGGCTTGTAGTCGATGGACTGACGATGCTGGGCCGTGGCCGAGTGCAGGGTATCCGCGGTGGCAGGTGGCAGGGTGCCCGCAGCCGGCGACCCCAGCGGCAGTTGTTGCATGTGCTGCGGCAGCGTTGGCTGGTGCTGGATGTAGGCGCTTTTCGCTGCCGACAAAGTGGAGGGAGATGGCGTGGGCGAGGCCATGGGCTCGTCGTACGGCGAACCCGACCGACTTGGCTGCAAAAAGAAAGAAAACTCATTAAGTGGAACTTCTCGAGGATTATTTGATTCAATTGCTTACCAATTCGGAGCTACTGTTGCTCAGATCGGCATCCTGGTCGGACAGGCCATCGTCCGCATCTGCGGGCACCTCCAGGCCGCGGACTCGTGCCGCATGCGACCGGGAGCGGCAGTGCTTGTACAGGTTGCTCTTCGTCTTGAAGGCAATGCCGCAGGTGTCGCAGGGATAGGGACGCTCATTGGTGTGCGCACGTATATGCTTCTCCAGCACCGATGGCTTGGCACAAATCAAACTGCAATACGGGCACACATATCTGCCAGATTTCTCTGCTATTAGTGCTCCGGCGGCTGCTGCTGCTGCTGCTGTTGGTTGCGTCTGTTGCTGATGCTGGGCAAATGTTGCAGGCGTCAGTGTGGCATTGGCCGCATAGTTGCTGCTGTGGCTGTGGCTGCTGCTCAACGGTGTACGGTTTCTGGCCACGCTCACATTGTTGGCCATCTTCCCGCTGCCGCTGCCGCTCCCACTCCCACTGTGGCTGTTATTGTGAATGTTGTTGTTGCTGCTGCTGCTGCCCTCCTCATGGCTGATGGCATTGACATGATTGCTATTTACAAAATTGGCACTGAATTCATTCGTCGTCGTCGTCTGCTGCTGCTGCTGGTTCTGCTGCTGTTGGGTCAAATGATGACCGTTGGCCACCGCCACCGCCACTGGCACTGCCACTGGCACCATTGGCTGCGGCGGCGGTGAAAGTGAGCTATTTGAGGATAGCGATGTGGTGCGGCCGGCATCCCCGGCTGCAATGTGGCTGCCACTGCCACTGGCACTTCCGTTGCCACCACCCTCCACTTCTGTGGTGCTCGCCAAACGCTTGAACTTCTTGTGCAAATAGCGCGAGATATTCGGCCAATCCGCAATGGCAACAGCAGCAGCCTCATCTGTGGTGGCTGTGATGGTGCTGCTACTGCTGCTGCTGCTGGCGGGGGTAATGCTGCTGCTGATGCTGCTGTTGCTTGTAACAGTAGTGGCTGTGGCTGTGGCCAGTGGTGAATCCTTGTGGCTGCCGACTGCAGTAGACATTTGCTGTAGCGTCATTTTGCTATCACTTAGATTTGCTTTATCTTTATCTCTATTCTTATACTCATAACTATTCTCATTAATACTATTATCACTGTGGTGGTGGTGGTGGTGGTTGTTGTTGTTGTTGTTGCTGCTGCTGATGCTATTGTTATTGTTGCCACTATTATTACTGCTGCTGTGGTCGTCGCTCAGCTTATCTCGTGTGCTGCTTGTACTGGGTTTGCTGCCAGCAACATCGGCAATTGTTGCTGCTGCTGTTGCTGTTGCTGCTGCTGCTTGCTGCTGCTGCTGCTGCTCTGCTAGCTTTACTGTTGGCTGCTGTCTTCTGTGTGGCTGTTGCTGCTGCTGCTGCTGTTGTGGCAGCTTCCCGATATGTCTGCTTCTTTGTTGCTGGTGTGATTGGGGCTGCTGTTGCTGCTGCCGCCGCTGCTGCTGCCGCCGCCGCTGCTGTGGCACGTCGCGTATTATTATTCACCTTACTGTTTGTCTTGTACTGTTTTCCCGCCGTCTTGTAATGCTTGCCCGCCGTTGTGGTGCTTGCATTTTCCATATTATCATCAAATTTATTATTAGCCTGCGAGGAATTGGCAGCGGACTCATCTAAAGGGTACACAAGAGAGAGAGAGAGAAGATTAAAATTTCAGTTAGTAAATTCATAATTTAATTCATATACTAATGCTAATTTTGGTAAACAAAATTCAATATTAGGGCAGAAGATCAAACACGGTGGCGACACCTAATGTGGGTCTGGAATCGATTAACTTCCACCTGGGAGTATTGCGAACTTTTCTGCTATCCCCCACCACCGCTGCTGTCCACTGTCCACTCACTAATCCCAGCAGGTGAATACTAATTTGCGCGTGAATTTCCCATTTAATAAATATGAATTTTCGTTTTACTTTTTATTAACTTTCTATTTCAATCCAATCAGAAAACACCCCACCCCCAATCACCATCAAAAAGTGACTCTGTTATGGCCCCACCTGTTGCAAACACACACACACACACATACACAGTCTGCATACCCATGCACACATACACGAGCAGACACGAGGCAGACGACAGGCGACCGAAACGAAACGAAACAACACGACACGAAAAACGGTACGAAAATCCAAAAGAAGTGACAAGTGAAATGTAATGACTTTTTGTTGCTGCTGCTGCCTTATCAGTGGAGTGTACACTGTGCACTGTACATGTGCCCCTTCCACATACAGTACGTTTCGAAAGTAAACATTGGATAAGTATAAATTACATTTCAATAAGGGATTTTCACGAGAATTTCTATCATGTAGAGGTTTCCACGAACAAAGAAAAGACTGTAATATCGACGCATCTGTTCTATAAAAGTATTATATGATTGGCACTTTTCGAAATGATTAGTAAGCATGGTTGGGCTGGGGCAGGGGCAGGGACAGGGGCAGGGGCAGGGCCAGTACTCAAATCACAATCGCAAAGAAATCCCCTCGGGCACTACGCCACCGACTTTGCGGCTGGCGGCGTTAATTGACACTCGACTGCGAATGGCGATGGCGACTGTTTAACATTCAACGCTATTATTATACACATTATACGCGGCATTATGCGATACGTATTTGTAAACGTATGTATGTACAGTATGTATGTATGTATGTACACATGTCTAACCGATCCACGTCTCGCTGCTCGCTCGCGTGTTTACTCAATTCGTTATCAGCGCTTATAAGGCTTTTCGACTAAGGAATCGCCTAAAAAAATTCCATTGATAATGCCAAGCTCTATATAAAGATACGTTCGTATGTGTATTAAATGTGTTGTGTGTTTGTGTTTTATTATCGGCCATCAGGTTATCAGTGGTGGGTACTATAACTATCGTGTGTGTGTGACTGACTCAGAGAATCTAAGCCCACCCCCTTCCACTGTAATTTGAGTGATTTAAGGCACAGACGCTTTGACGTCAACGATCAACTATCCGTCGGTCAATTGAGCCATTTTAAGTAAGTGGTGCCATTCGACAGGGATTAGGCTCTCAAATTGAAATCTTGATTGCCTGATTGCCTGATTGCATAATAACGTGTAATGCCACTACATAAAGGAATATTTGTATGTATGTATTAATAGCAGTGAGCAGCTATAGGGTAGGCGGCAGCCTCAGTAGGTCAATTACAAGGCGCCAAATGCGGCACAATTAAAATGTTTATTTAGTATACTGAACGACGACAAAGATCTAGTTAAATGATTACATGGAATTTCTGTGAGAGCGAGAATCACGTTTTTAGTTGTAAATATAAATAGAAACACGCACAGATCATCTATAGCCCTTGCACTTCTCGAAAGCAACTACTTTCTGACCAATAACTATAAGTTTTTTATGCTTATTTGTCCACCATCTACTAATTTGACTCTTTGGCAAGTTTTCTATGCAAACCCGTTGCTTATGCCCTCTAAAAAGATTGTATAAGATATATGCAGATAAACAGCATCACAAGTTGCTATTCTATACACCCTTGTTCTATCGTTGTAAAAATCCCCATAAAGTGTACCACTGTACCCCGTAGACAAAGCTCAGATTTGGGGCTCCATAAAAGCATAAACAAGAGGCCAAAGCCTACGCGCTACCATGGGACTTAATCACCCAACCAGAAGGCGATAAGCTGTAATCAGCCGTAGAAGCCCAAACAATAATGAAGCAGAATACTCATACGCTATGCATACCCTGCAGCAGAGCAGCCGAGTACACGGGGTGGCTTGGTTCAATGGAAAGGTTGAATACTAGAATAGTTTCATTTCGCTGACTTTTAATCCATTTGCTACAGCAGCAGAAAATAAAATGAAAACTAATATTTAAATGGCATTTTGTTATCACGAATTTTTGTTTAACATTTGCTGGCATTGTTGTTTTTAGTTTACTTTATAAGTGTGTGTGTGTTTGTGTGTGTGTCTATTGAAGGCGTGAAGTGTTGTTCGGGCTATTCAGTTTTATATATAGTATATACGAGTATAAATGTAAATATGTACTTTGTTTGCATTTGCATGCAGTTTCATAGAGCCAGGCGGACCCCGAAGGCAGAGCCAAAGTGCAATACATGAAAATATCAGGCATTTTATCAGGCATGAAACGAGTGCAGTTGCAAGCAGTGCAGGTAAGTATTAAGCACACGCTGCTTCCCCAACCACACCGAGCCTGAGTCCGAGTCCACGACGTCATCAGAGCGCGCTTCGCAAATGACAGACTGACTAACTGACAGACTGATGGGTGAGCACACATGCACCCAACCACCCACGCACACACATAGGCACACAAACACTTGTACTTGTACAGCCTCACACGCGCACCCTCGCATACACGAATAAAGTCCAAGGTGCGGCCAACGGCGCCACAAAGTCCGTCTGGCAGTCGTCTCTGTCTCTCTGTCAGTCGCTTTGACCGTGTCAACCGATTGCAGTGCATGACTAGCCCTGATACAACGTCATCACGAGAACATGCACGGCGTATGTATGTGGGGATGTAGGTGTAGGTGTACTTGGCTGCAGCTGTGAAACGGCTAAAAACAACTTAGACCGCGCCACTTGACAATTGTTTATAATTTATAGGCTCACTACAACGAGCAATGTTAACGCTTTAAGTGCTGCTAGCGCGTAAAAGTACGTCAAATTCGCGGAAATGATACGAAATTCCAGCGAAAAGAAAAACTCCCGATAAAAGCAACACTGCAAAATTAACAACGCACACACACATGGGGATATCAAACGGTAAAGTGAGACGACACATACCCGTCTAATTGTGGCTACGCATGCTCTTACACGCACACGCACACACACTCATATTTGCATTGAATATCGTTTGTAAAACGCAACAAATGAAACGTATAGCGACAAAAAACGGTCCAACAATAGTCGCACGCGCGTGTCGACAACAGGCGGGCTACAAGCGACAACGACAACGACCGAATCGCCTGAAACATTTAAGGCGACTACAACTAGACGAGGCGAGCGGCAAAATTCATTCAGAGAGGAGTGTGCAAAAAGAAAACGAAGAAGCGACCCCGCCGCCGAGCAGTGCAAAAACAAAAAGCACAACCACTGGTGGCGGCAGCGACGACGTAAGCAGAAGCAGAAGCAAAAGCAACAGAAAAAAAAAACGTACAATAATCAAATAATTGCGGCAACGCTTGCTCTTCCCTCCTCCCGGTAATGACCGATTCAACGATCTCTCTCCTCTCCCATCGCCACCACAGTAAACACTCTTTTGCACTCTCTCGCACACGCACACTCACACACACACACAGTGAAATTGTCAATCAAAAGTAAGCACAGGGTCGCTTCTGATTTAGCTGCTGCTGCTGCTCTGTCTCTGCATGCGCTGAGAAATGATCAAATCGGGCAAAAACGTAGGCCCCCCAACAGGTGACGTGAAGTGGGGTATATGACTGTCGCCAGCCCAGCCGCCAGCCAGCCGCTATTGTTGATTACGTACACACTCGCACACACTCAAACAAGTCGAGAGCTTTACAAGCACGCGCACGCATACCAGTGCACATCCCCAGCGACATACCTAGCCTCACCTCCCCACCACCCATCCTCCACCAAAACCATTCCCATGAGTATGCGAAATTTTGCTGACTAAGGAAGGTCTGGGGAGCACCAGGCAACGGCAACGGCAGCAGCGACAGCGACGATACGATAACAACAAAAGCATTTAAAACGTAAAAGCAACAGCACAAAACGTAGCAACGAAAAGAAAAAAAAGTGATAATAAAATAATAATTGCTACACATACAACAAAGCAAGGCACTGATCAAGAGGAAGAGAGTGAGAGAGGGGAGCGGAGGAAGAGAGAGAGAGAGCACCAGCTAGAGCTGCCGCAGCTGTCTATACACACAATCAAGCAATACGAATGATACGCTGCTCCCCATCCCCATTCCTCGGCTCCCACAAGCCTCCACGAGTGGAGCACGATTTGCCATGTGGCCCAGCCTGTTCGTTCTCTCACTCACACTCACACTCACATACGAACAACATGACTAACTTGACAACACTGTCGGTCTGTTCGGTTTAGTTCGGCTCGTTTCGGTCGCTGCTTTGCTGTCTGCCTCTCTTCTCCATCCCCCCACCGACCCCCTGCTCTACTCTTGCTCTGCTCTTGTGTATTATATTGAGTCAATTCATAAGAAACGAGGAAACCCGCCGCCATATCGCCGTTTGTTGCTGAATACGTGTTTACATTTCTGTATGTGTGTATGTATGGGAGTGTGCTTGTGTGTAAGCCTGCCTGTGTGCGAGTGGCATGAGCATGAATCAAGTTAAAAATTTTAATAATTTGCCCGATGTTGATGTTGTGCCTGAAAACGAGTTTAGCTTGTTGAGCCACCAACTGTGTGTGTGTGTGTGTGTGTGTGGTTTAGGCTCCCCTGCAGCTACTTGTTTTCTTTCGTTTGCGTCGTTGTCTCCATCGTCTTCTTCTTGAACGCAACAGCAAAAGCAGGCTGGCAGCAAAGCCACAAAACTTTTTATATTGAAGCAGAGAAGAGGAGCTTTCTAGAGCGCTTGATAAGCGGTTTACTTCGTCTCTCTCTGTCTCTCACTGACTCTCCATCTTGCAGTTGTGTCGGCTGCGTGGG